TCAGCATCACTTCCACATCTGGGAAGAACGGTGGTGCTTCCTTTATTTATAGCACCTTCCTAGCACCTACATGGTGCCTGGTGTATGGTAGGAGCTTGGAAAATAGTTGGGATAAGCAAATGTGCTCCTGGGAAGAGGGTCCCAGGCTCTCCCATTCCCTCTATAAAAGTGAAAGGAACGCCCAGTAGGCGGTAGGTAGTTACAGACCAAGTTCCCTTCCGGGAAGAGGTAGGCACACACAGAAGGGTTCAATTGCTGATCATATTAACAGGGTTCCCACAGAGGAGTGGGCAAGGATGAGAGGACCACCAAGGAATGGTGATGCATCCAAAGACAGGGAGCTGTGAACGTCCCCACTTGAAAGAGCAGAAGAGAGAATTATGTTACTGGAGCCAAGCGAGAGCTGGAGCTGTGGAGGAGGGACCACCAATCAGAGCTGTGGCTACAGAGGAAAGCAGCTGATGAGGTTCCCTATGCTTCTGCCTCAGGTAATGACTTGTGTCAGGTGTCATGCCTGGGTCCCTGCCTCCCAGCTCCTGTGTTCTTGTCTAGATCTTCCGTTTGGGCCTGCCATCCTGCAGCCCATCAGCTGCTGCCTGCCAGTGACCTAAAACAATCCCAGCACATGCACATGCTCGAGTACACACACCCGCAGTCCCTGGGAGGTGTCCTGCCCTGAAGAGGGGAGGCACTGACCCTGGACAGTTGAGGTCCTCAACTAAGAAAATATCAGATGTTAAGAATGGGAGAACGGCCTCAGCTGGAAGTGTCGGAGAGTGATGGATGGTCCAAATACAAAGAAAGGCAGAGAAAGAAGATCAAGTGTGAGAGAGGTCAGAAGTGAGAGAGAGGTTGGGACTTGACTCCAGGAAGGTGAGAACAAGTAAAAGCAGGACAGGACTGAGGAGGGAACTGGGAAAGGGAAGTCAAAGTGTCTGCTTATCAGCAAGTGTTATCTGTGGGCTCTGATGTTTGTGGTTGGTAGCTCTCGCCAAGAGTGTGGTGAACACCACCAGTTATTCTCTCCAGCCCACTTCTCAGGCAAGGCTGGGCAGGGGCTTTCCCAGTTTGGGCCAATGGTGTTCCCTGAAAGTTTGAGTTGTTCCAGCTTTCAGAGGCCCGTTCCCACGTCAGCTGTCCCTACCCCACCTATCCCCTAGCCCAGCCCAGGTGTTGCTTCTGGCCATGGTCCTAACCGGAACCCGGTGCTTCCCCTGCCATTCAGGTGGCTTGAGTAAAGCTGAGAGGCTAATGGCAGGTCTGAAAGATGGTGAGGATGCTCACATATGACAGTCTTGATTTATCCCTAGGGAAGGGGGGGGGGAGTAGAAGGGTGTGTTTGAGGAGAGTGATCATTAGAACAGCTGCTAGAGGGAGTTCACTAGGGAACCTCCAGGCATTCTAAAAGGGATAGTCCAGCAGCTGTGAAGTCTCAGCTGAAGAGAGACATCAAGAATGTTTCATATGTCCAGCCATGCTTCTGGTCTAGGACTTCCCCAACAACAGTCTCCATTATATCCAGGGACACTGAGGCTCTGAGAGACCTGAGTTCTCTAGCATAGTGACTGGCACAGACATGGTGGTTGAATGAATGCACGCATCAGTGAATGATGGGGTTCAGACGTAAAGATAAAGGGAAAAAGATCTCTGTGCCCAAATTTGAGGGGGCAGGTATCTTTAAACACAGATTTAGCCCCATGTGTGGGAGTGGGGTGATGCCAAAATGTTCCTGTGCTCAGATGTGAGGATCAGGAAATTGAACCACAAATTAGCATGAGCTGAAAGATGAGAGCATTTGATATGCATGTGCTTCGAGGAATCAGTAAAGACTTCTTGATATCTGCCCTTTGCTATGAGGTTTACAGGAATAAAAAGAGCCTTTCCTCAGGTAGGAAGGAAGTGGGAAGAAAAGGTCAGGATGGCACATAAATGGGCCAGAAAGTAAGATTCGTGAGACTTTGGAGTTCTGCTTTTGTCTAAGATATAGAAAGCTAGACACATTTAAAATAGCACCCAAATCATACTTAGGTGTAGAAATACCTACATAGACATTTAACAAAATGTGTGCAAGACTTGTATGCTGAAAACCACAAAGCACATTGGTGAGAGAAACCATAGAATAAATAAATAAATTAAGGGTAAGATTGTGTCTATGCATTGGAAGACTCAGTAGTGCTAAGATGCCTAGTTCCCTCAAAATTGAGCTATAGATTCAATGGAATCCCAATCAAAGGCCTGGCAGGCAATTTTTTTCGGGTGGTGGTGGTGTGTGTGTGTGTAATGAATTGACAAGCTGATTCTGAAATTTATGTGGGAAAGTAACTAGAACAGCCAATGCCAGTTCTTTTTGAAAAAGAGCAACGTAGTTGGGTTACTCACACTGTCTGATTTCAGAACTTGTTATAAAGCTACAATGAGTGGTCCAGTGGTGTGGTGCTGGTGTAGAGACATTTAGGTCAATGGAATAGAATGGACAGTCAAGTAATAGACCTAGCTGTCAATCGATTTTTGACAAAAAGACCAGGCCAATTCAATGCAGAAAGGATAGTTTTCTCAGTAAACTATGCTGGTACAATTGGATATCCAGAGGCAAACAAACAAACTACAAATCATATCTCACAGCACAAGCAAAAATTAACTGAAAATGTATCATAGACCAAAATGTAGAATCTAACTCTATAAAACTTCTAACAGAAAATATTGGAGAAAATCTTTGTGCCTTTGAGGTAGGAAAAATACTCTTAGCAGGACACAAAAAGCACAAATCATAAATGAAAAATCAGTACATTTGACTTCATCAGGAATAAAGTCTTCTACTCTTTAAAAAACACTATTAAGGGAAAGATAGAACAACTTACAGACTGGAAGACAACATTTTCAGATCATATCTCTGAGAAAGGACTTGTATCCAGAATATATAAAGAATTCTTACAACTCAATAATGATGGTAATAATAATCAATGATAAAAAATAGACAAAGATGTGGATTCATACTTTGCCAAAAAGAGGTATATAGGTGGCAAGTAAACAATGAAAGATGTTCAACATGGTTAGTTATTATGAAAATAGAATTAAAAGAATAATGAGATACTGTCACAAACTTATTAGAATGGCTTTGCCAAACCCTGCCAATATCAAGTTTTGACTAGGATGCAAAAATAATACAGCTATTTTTCAACACAGTGTGGCAGCTTTTATCAAGTTAGACACATACCACACGATCCAGCACTACCACTCTTAAGATTTTAGCCAAGGGAAATGAACCGTATGATCACACAAAATATATGTACATGAATGTTTATGGTGGCCTTTTCCATAATTGCCCCCACCTGGAAACCACCCAAATGTTCATCAGCTGGTGAATGGATAAAGTATGGATACTTTGGATCCATACCTGATGGAATGGATAAAGCGGCAGTACCGCTTACTGGGCGTGGTTCAGCTATGCAATGACATATATTCAGCAATAACAAGAAATGAATTACTGAGAAGTGTAACTTCATGCGTGCTGAATATATGTTGATAAGTGAAAGAAACCAAACTCAGGGCTACATACCAAATGGTTCTGGGAATAGGACAATCTAGAAAGGGCAGGAAGCTGTAGGAACAGAAGGAAGATCAGTGGTTGCCAGGACCTGAGTTGGAGAGGAAGAGATTGGCTAACAGGGGCACGAGGGAACTTTTTTGGGGGCTGATAGAAGTGTTCTGTATTTTGCTTGTGGCAGTTGTTACAGAGATATATGAGTTTGTCAAAATTCATAGAAGTAGACACCCAATGGGGTGAATTTTTGTGTGTGTAAATGATATGCCAATAATCCTGGGTTTATAAAAAGACCATAGAAGGGTACCTATAGAGTGATTTTCAGGTGGCCTCAGACCCTTCTTTTCCTGAGCCCTTAGGTCAAGACTGGGCATTTGATTTCTAAGTGAAGGACTGTCTTACGTTTATCATTAACTCCCATCTCCAAGCACATTCCCTGTACATATGGTAGATGCACAGTCCATAAGGGTAAAGTGAGTAAAAACAAATCAGTGAGCTCTTGCAAGGAACCAAAGTAGACTCTGATAATCTGTGGGTCCCTGTGGGCTCTTTCAGCTTCTCCAGTTACTTACCCCAGCATGACCCGACTTCCTGCCCCTGGGAATGACCCACCTCCCCCACCCCATCCCCGATTCACCACCGAGACATTTCATACTTTGCCTTTGCCCATGCAAGTCCCTGTGCCTGGATCACCCTTCAAGGGCCCGCACCTGTGGGGAAAGCACCCCCCCTGCCCGGAACTCCAGCAAAGGTCACGTCCTGTGTTGTCCCATAGGTGTGTGCGTGCACAAAATAATGTCCGTGTGAGCATGTGCACACAGGAGGCATCCAGCTGTGCAAGGGAGGATAAACTTGGGCAGGAGATTACAGGTGGAAGAGAAAATTCTCCCTCTCGGGGAGAGCCCATCTTCCCCTCCCCTGCTAACTAGGATAATAGTACTAGTTAGGCTCTATTCTAAAGCACTTTGCCTGTGGAAGTCCATGTTACCCTCCCAATAACTCTACACACTATTATTCTTCCCATTTTATAGATGTAAGAACTGAGACACAGAGAGGTTATGGATGGGTGGTTGCACACACAGGAATTGAGGAAGGAGGGACTTGAAGTCTGACGCTGCCAAACTATAGGGATGCTGGCCTGGAGGGAAGGACTAGGGCTGGTTGAGGGTCCAGCAGTTCCCTATCCCTTGCAAGGCTGGAACCAGAGTGTGGCAGGTGCTGTGAGTGGGTGAGTGGCAGGAGGAGGGTCTGAACACAGCAGTGAGGACTGTGCCTTGGACACTGACCAGCCCCAGCCATTCGGGGTCACTCTGGCTGGCAGGGGCAGTAGGGCAGGCTGGCCTCTCGGAGGTCTGGGATCAGGCTGGCAGGGGCAGTAGGGCAGTGGCTGGCTCCTCCTCTCCCTTCCTCCCTACCCCCCCCCCACAACCCCTCCCTAAATCATAAAGCCAGACCCCAGTCCTGACTATTTCTCAATCCCCAGGAGCCTAGTTCCTGTGGGCAGCACTTGACGTGCCTGAACCCTCTCTTTTCTGCAATTCAAGGGAAAGACGAGATCTTGCACAAGGTACCCTGTGTCTGCCCTCCGCCAGGGAAGGCAGGCATGGAGCCTCTCTGGCTGCTCATCCTGCTCGCCATCACAGGTAGGACCCCGTCCCTCCGCTGCCCCTGCCGTCTCTCCCTCCCCTCCTTGAGTATATGGCGGGCGGGTGGGTGGGGAGCACTGGGCTGAACTATAAAGGCGGTTAAAGTCTGCAGCATGTTCTGCACCCCTCTTTTCCCCACCTGCCCCACATTCTTTATGTGCTTTATGTGCTCTCCCTCCCTCCCCCGGGTGAGAGCCCACTGTCAGACTCTTCATACAGGTGGAAGTATAAGGGGCTGGTGGATTCTAGGCACACGGAAAAGGAAGGAATTCTGATAGTGACATCTCAGGCACTAGCTAGCAGTTGGGGGAAATTTTGGGGGGCATGGGTAAGAGCCCTTAAAATTATGAACTGCTAGCCCCAGAGGGATGGCAATGTGGGAGGGAAGAAAGAGGGACGAAACCCACAACCAAGCATGTACATCTTCGGGGTGCCTCTTCTGCTGATGTGAAGGTCCTCTTGTCCTCCGCCCTGGAAGGGAGTTAAGGGGGCTGAAGATTTCCGTCACTGAGTTGGAGGGCTGACACCCCAGATTCTTGCACACAACTACCTCCTTTTATTGGGGGAAGGTGCCTCTTGTTCCCCTAGAGCAATAGGCAAGCCTGGTGAGAGGAGAGGCTGTTCCAGCGGAGCCCTTCTCCTGAGGCTTCTTAGCTAGGAGTGGAGTTGGGGGAAGACCGGGGGCTGCCTGGAAGCAGAGGGATGGACAGGGTGACAAGTGGAGGGAGCACTGCTTCCTAAAGGCAGGCCACCCACTCCCTGATCTTGTCTTCCAAGACATGTCACCATATGGTTGAAGACAGGGTAAGGGAGGACCAAGAGAGGGGAAGTTGAGGCAGAGGGCTCCAGGTGATTCTTCTGCAGCTTCTGCCCTGGCGATAGACTGTGCTCTAAGCCTGTCTCCCCTGCCCCAAGAAAGGTCCCCAAAATAGCAGCCTCATGTCTCCCCCAAAATAGCTCTGAGATGAGTCTCTCCTGAAAGGGGAACAAAGCCACAGAAATAGGGAAGCCGGGAGCCAAAGGTCAGAAGGAGAAGATGCAGAGCCCGTGCGGGCGTGGGCAGCTGCCGAGTAAGCATGAATGGCCAGGGCCGGGAGATGGTATCCAGCCCAGGCTGAGGGGCCACTGGCCCTGCTCTCTTGAGATGGAGAGGGTCCCATATGACAGGGAGAAAATGTGTGGAATAGAACTGGAGGGAACTTCAAGACCAATGTCTCTGGAAATAGGCCCAGAGATGGTCAGTTACTTCTTTAAAAATGCCCAGCAAGTCCAACGGTGTTAAAGCCAGACCTAGGACCAGGGTGTCACGGTGGGCTGTGCACCCTCTCCCAACTTACATAAGAACCTGAGCTCCTTAAGGGCAAGATTTCTCTCTCTTTGGTCACTGCACACGTGGGCATTCGAGAAACATTTGGTAGATGAACAGAGAGTGAAGGAACATCTCCTCCCCAGAGCTGTCCGGAGCCCACAACACGACGGTGTTCCAGGGCATGGCAGGCCGGTCCCTGCAGGTCTCCTGCCCCTACAACTCTTTGAAGCACTGGGGAAGACGCAAAGCCTGGTGCCGCCAGCTGGATGCAGGGGGCCCGTGCCAGCGGGTCGTTAGCACCCACCGCTCATGGATACTGGCCTTCCTAACAAGGCGGAACGGGAGCACAGCCATCGTGGACGACGCCCTGGGTGGCACTCTCACCATCACGCTGCGGAACCTTCAAGCCCATGACGCTGGCCTCTACCAGTGCCAGAGTCTGTACGGGGATGAGGCCGACACCCTCAGGAAGGTCCTGGTGGAGGTGCTGGCTGGTGAGTGCGTGGCGGACTGCACCGCTGGCCCACCCCTGGGCTGGGACGAGGTCCCCGATGTCTGGGAACACCCACCATGCGGCTCTTGCCCTCCCCCTCAGGGCCACAGTGGATGGCTGTGCGGGTTGCTCACTGCACATGGGGGCCACACTCCAGCCCTGGCGCCCCTCTCCAGGCTGCGCTCCCTGGGGCAGGACCGCATCTCTGGCAGGAAGGGTCCTGGCCTCTAATTTGCACAAGGCACCGAATGAGCTGGCTATGGTCCTGCCTCCCCAAACAGCTTCATCCATTTGGCATCCAGTTAGGATGTGAACACCTAAAGCGGCCCTTAAGGAGTAGGAGGAGGTTCATTTGCTCCCTCACCCAATTACCCAAAGGAACTGCCAGTACAAAGTAAGAGCCAACCTGGTGCAGAAAACAGCCCGAGGAAGGGGCACTGCTTGTGACCCCGGGTGATACGCTTGCCTCTCTGGGCCTCCACGTCCTCATCTTTAAATGGAGATGATGATGTTTGTCCTGCTGCCCCCACAGGGCTCCTGTGAGGCGCCCATGAGGTGACAGGGTTAAAAGTGCTTGGGGGTAAGTGACAGCCCCCGCCGCAGCCTCCCGCTGCTGAGCTGACCTGGGGTCCTCATTCCAGGCTTGCCAGGCAGCGGGGTCCTCCCCACCCCTGAGCTTGGCACATGGAAGCCTTCTGCCTGTGTCTCCAGAACACCGTGTGTCCCCAAGGAGAAGAAATCTGGGGGTACGAGTCCCCTTTCTGACTCTCGCCCTTCCCCACCTCCTCTCCCACAACATGGCCCGTTATGGTGGAAATGAGCTATTTGTTTAAGGTCTAAGGTGGGGAGCGGAGGGGAAACGGGTTGCCCTAGACCCAAACCCCACGTCCATCACTCTGTTACATGGTGGGAAGGGGGAGAACTGGGTGAAGGGACACAAATTTTCAGCCCTATCAGGGTCTAAGCCTCAGCCAACTCCCAAGGGGGTGGCAGGAAAATAATATAAAATAATAATAATAATAATAATCCATAGCTGGTGTAGACAGCCTGACAGTTCACGCAGAACTTTCAAATACATCCATTCATGCACTTGACCTTCCCAAAGACCCTGTGTAATGGGAGGGTGGGAGTTACCGAGCTCCGATGAGGTGCTAAGCACTATACAAGATGCTCTCCCTGAATCCTGCAACACTACTATAAAGGAGGTGTTTCTATTCGACCCACTTTACAGGTGAGGAGACCGAGGCTCAGAGAGGCTAATGACCCGATCTGCTCTGGGCCAGAGCCCAGGGGGCCTCACCACACCCAGATGGGTTCTCCCCACTGCAACCAGCTGCCTCAAGGAGGAGGGGCTAGAAGCTCACAGGCTCTGTCTTCCACAGACCCCCTTGATCACTTGGACCCTGGAGAGCTCTGGATCCCCAAAGAGTCCAAAGGCTTCAAGGACATCCATGTGGAGCCCAGCATCGCCAGGTATAGAGATGGGTCTCTGCTAAGGTCTCTGGGCAGACTTCTGCCGTGCAGAGCCCGGGCATGGGATGGAGGCTGGGGTCCTAGAACTAACTACAAATCTGAAGACAGTTAAAGCATGAAAGGGCCTGGGGATAATTTTTCTGAACACAACCTCCAACCAGCCACTGTGTGTTGGTATGGCCATGCCAGTTGTTAAAATATTGAAATTCTCTTTTTTTATACGTAACTTCTGCTCCAAGCCTGCTGAATGCCCAGCCTCCCCTTCCTCCCCTGGCAGCCCTTGGACAGCCCACAGTTTAACAACAATACAAGTTTAAGTACAAGACTGGGACCCCCAGCAGATACCTGCTCCTTTGGTAGGACCAGAATCAGCTCTGATTGGTTCATGCCTGTGTACTGATGTTGAAATACTATTAATGTAACCACAGTGTACCCCCCCCCCCCACTATACCATCATGCACAGCAGGTAATTGCTCGGCAAGGGAAGTGTTTAAATGTGCTCAGCAGGTAGATCCTGATTACAGGCTCCCCCAAGCCCACAAAGCCTCATCCCAGGGATGGTGCTGGGTGGGGAGCTATTCTAGGCCCCTGAGAGCTCCCAGTGTCTCCCTGTTCCTTCTCCGAGGGCAGACTTCAGTGTGTGGGCCACCCCAAGGCCTCCCTCATGTCCTCCTTGTGTCTCCAAGGAGTCTCTCCAAAGAGGACATGCCCTTCCCACCCACTTCCATCCTTCTCCTCCTGGCCTGCATCTTTCTCAGCAAGTTTCTAGCAGCCAGTGCCCTCTGGGCTGTGGCGTGGCGTGGGCAGAAACTGGGGACACCCTCGGCCAGTGAGCCGGACTGTGGCCACGACCCAGGTTCCCAGCTCCAGACCCTAACAGGTGAGCATGAGGAGCACAGCGGTGGCTGGGGGTGGACCGGGCAGGGGTGGCGAGGTGGAGCTCAGAGGGGCCATGTGAGCATCGGTCGGTTGCAGAGCGGAGAGACACATGAGAGAAGAGGACCCCTGATGGGACGAGGCCCAGGAGAGGCCTGCTGGAACCACCCCAGCCTGCACACTGGTCCCTCGGCCACCAAGACTCCTGGTTCTGCTTTGGCAAAAGGCTAGACTGCCCATCCTCTGCTTCCCCTGGTCCTGGAAACAGAAGGGTGTGTGGGAGGGGGGGAGGGGGAGAACATTTGTCAACTTCTATACACTGGGCATTAAATACTCTCCCAAATAAATCCAAGACTTCATGTTTAATCGGATGGTTTGGGGCTTTGCGAAGGCCTCTCTCTTGCTCCAGGGCTAGGAGAATGAATTTGGCCGAGGATGAGATAAAAGTTCTGACCCCTCGGGGCCTCAGGCCTTAGGCTACTGCATCCCGCCATTCTCAAAGGCTCCACGCCACCCATCTTTGTCTTCTTCTTGCTCCCTTCCCTAGATCTAATTACTGAATCCTGCCTCTTCCTCTGGGATTTCTCTAGCACCCAGTCTGGCTCCCCTCTCCTCCACTTGCCTCCTGCCCCTCAGGAGGATTATTCTAGGATTATTGCTGCCCACCCTTGCCCCAGTCCATCTCCCAGCTGACTCATCCACTCCCTTCCCCAAGCTTTGCTTTCCTCCTGTTACTTCCCCTACAGGCAAACAGCCACAGCTTCTTATATAGTGCAGCATACCAGAGCCGGGAACAACTGGTCTGAGCCTCTCACTACACAGAAGGGAAACTGAGGCTCAAAAGGGAATGACGTCACCCCAAGTCCCCAGCAGAGCCTGGAAGTGCAAATTTCGATTGGTGTTCAAGTTGCCCTTCCCTCTAGCTCAAGCCTGCTCATTTATTCGTTTATTTATTCAACAGATATTTTCTGTGCTGGATACCATTCTAGGCGCCAGAGACACAACGGTGAACAAAACGGGCCAAGATTCCTGCCCACACAGAGCCACAGACTAGTGGGAGGGGAGGGAGACAGACACAATAAATAAGTCAGCCAGATGGTTTGTTAAAAGATAAAGAGCTGAGGGGGAGCCTGGGTGGCTCAGTCGGTTAGGCGTCTGCCTTTGGCTCAGGCCTTGATCTCAGGGTCCTGGGATTGAGCCCCACATCGGGCTCCCTGCTCTGCAGGAAGCCTGCTTCTCCCTCTGCCTGCCCCTCCCCCTGCTTGTGCTCTCTCTCTCTCTCTCTGACAAATAAATAAAATCTAAAAAAAAAAGATAAAGTGCTGAGGAGCAAATGACTAGGCAGACTGGGAGTGCAGAAGGGACAGGATGATGTCATGCTAGAGGGCATCAGAAGGAACCGCTGGAGAAGCCCTGGGAGGAGGTGAGGAAGTGAACCACGAGGATATCGGGACCCGAGGACTGGGGCAGAGGGACAGCCAGGGCGGCTCAGGAACTTCATCTCTCCCCCGAGCACAACACACCATTGCAGCCACGAGTGAGAGGGAGGGGATGGAGACTTGCCCAGGGAGGCCTGCAGGAAGAGGAGGAAATGAGGCACTCCCATCCTTGGCCTTGGCAAGGTGGAAGTCCAGGAGCCCGTGTGGCCAGGGCTTTGCCCCTTACCATGGGCGTGGGCTCCTGGAGTTTGGAGCTCTCGTGTCCAGCCTCACGTCTACACATCACTCCCCGGAGCCAGCCCAGCCCAGCCCTGCCCACTCCCTACAGAGGCTGTTGCGCTAGCCCTGTCCCCAGCTCCGGGATGCTGGTCCAGGCTATGTGTCCCAGGTCCTTGGACTCAGCGGCACGTCAACCTTCCTCATCAGGTTCTGGGCCCCGTCTCCTTCCCGCAGACCTGAGGCACAGTCTAGCAGCCAGGAGTGAGCCTGTCCACCTGCTAGCACCAAGGCCGACAAGATGGCAGGGGACGGTCCCCTGTGTGCGTCACTGGAGAGTGCCTGCTGCTCGCCTGATCTTGAGAGCTTGGCCTTTTGTCTTTCTTCCTCTGCCACATTTTGACGTCCCCTCAGGGTTTGGATTGCCACTGGGATCCCCTGCCTTGGACTCTCTGGGGCGCACACGGGACTGAAGGGGGTCAGGTAATTTAGCTCCAAATTTGCCTCCTACGCAGAAACCTGAAGCAAGTTCCTTAACCCCTCTGAACCTCACCTATTAAAAAACAAAACAAACAAACAAACAAATCAACCCTGTTTTTGCTGGGGTTTTGTGGGGTTGAAAGAAATACCATTAGTGAAAGTCCCAGGCCAGATGTTTGGTGCAGAGCAGGTCCCAGATGAACACTGGCTTCCTTCCTCTTCTCTAATGCCCACAGTCTGACACCTCCCTGAGGCCTGGTCACCTCTGTCCTGCAAAGGTGTGGACTGTACCTGTTTTAGACACTTGGTTACATATTGAGGACAGGTCTCCTCTTCACGGCCCATTAGTGTAATAGCTTTCTCGTAAGGAAATCGAAGAAAACCTGATGCATATTGGCAGGACAGATATAAGCACTTTCATGTCACCCACGAGGCTTACCCACCTGTCCAGTTTGCCCAACACTTCGCCAGTGTAGCACCAAAAGTCTCATGTCCCCACGAAAACTCACAGCACCAGGCAGACGGGACAGTTGGTCACCCTCTCATCACTTCCAGCTTCACACACTGTCCGGCTTTCTCGGGCTCCTGTTCCCAGTCCCCATTGGTAGCTCCCTTGCTCCTGAAGGAAGGAGAGAGGCAGAGGGAGAGGGAAGGAGGAGAGAAAGGAGGGGAGAGGAAGGAAGGAGGGTGGTTTCTTTAGCCCCTTTCTAGGTGTGATGTCTAGGTCAGGGGCAGCGTGCCCCTTTCAGCCATCCCCACCTTGCCCGCCCTTGTCTTTCTGAACACCACTGTCCCAGGTCAGGAGGTTTATCGCCCACATTTGGTGCAGGGTCCCCAAACCCCAGTTTTGCACAGGGCAACGTGAATGGGGGCCATATGTTTTCTGTGCCGGCAGTGGGCTTGTGTCACAGGAGAGGAACCTCCAAAGATGAGGCTTGGAGTTTATATACAGCATCAGCCCATCTCCCTCTCTTGGGAGAGAGACACCTTTACTCTGGAAGGTAAACAGCTCTTCTCGAGGGAGGGGGTAGATCTGTCTAAGCAAGTTCCTCTGGAGCTGATACACTCTCTCTAGCATTCAAGGCATGTTTGCTATTCAATCACGCTAGAACAAAGCTCGATCAGTGCCCAGACCATGCAGAAATGTGAAAATATCCATGGAGAATTGTCTCCCAACAGACAGGCTAGGATATTCTTGAAACAAATATAATATGCTATAAGAAATGTCTGGAGAATAAGAAACCTTGTAAATTGAAAATACTAAGGAAATAAACACGAGACAATAATAGAAGGGATGGAAGGAAAAGATGAGGGTGTCTTCTCGAAATCAGAACAAAACGGACAAAAAGATGGAAAACAAGAGAGGAAAGATAGGAAAATGAGATGAATCCATGAGGTTCAGTATCCAACTAGTTAAGGAGTTCCAGAAAACGGGGGAAGAGGAAATGGGGCGTCATTATCAAAGGATGGATGCGGTTGCCAGAACTGGAGAACATGGGTGCACGCTGCCAAGTCTCGAGAGCACCGGGCACAGTGAATGAAGGCGGGTGCCATCCAGGGCACCTCGGAGTGGGGCCTCCTGATGTGAGGTCGTGCAGCAGGACCGGACAGTCTCCTGAGAGCTCAGGCCTGTGTGCTCATTACAGACTATAGAACCAGAATAACGCTCCACCTTCCTCCTTCACACCTCTGCATCCTCCGATTTGATCTTTGGAAGACTCTGAGGATTCTCTTCCCTCTCTCTCTATTGCTTATCCAGTTCCAGATCCTCCTCCCACCTCATCCCTTAACTGGGCCCCAAGAGCCCGGGTTCTGCCCGTCCTTGGGCCTTCTCACCCTGCCTCGCCCACCCCTACCGACCCTCATGGTCAAGTTCCCAAGCACTGAATCAACCAGGCTTTGGAAGGGCGCCTTATCCCCACCCACAGAGGGGCCCCCAGTGCCTGCCTCCCTCTCCATGGCCTCCGAGAGCCCCACGTGACTGAGGCAGATGTTTCCTGCTCCCTGGGGAATGCTGTGTCAGTGGCCAGGCAAGCCCCAGAGCTGACATCTGCCGACCTGCCATGGGCCCCCACCTGCTACCGCTGTTGCTCCTGGGACTGGCAGGTAAGGTTAGAAGGAGGTGCACTTGGGGCCCCCTACACTCCGCTCCAGGCCCAGGAATAACCGGCGTTATTGTGGCAACAATAACATATGTAGGGCCCAGAAGGTGGACCTCTCCGTGCCTGTGCCCCTGTGGCAGTGGGTGGACTGGAAAGTTCCCGCAGCTCCTGCCCAGCCTTCCCATGTCCTTTCCTTCCCTAGGCCAGGGCTCGGCGGGCACCTTCCCGGAGGTGCTGCAGGCCCCCGTGGGGGGCTCCATTCTGGTGCAGTGCCGCTACGAGCCCCAGGACATCAAGGCTCGGAAGGTGTGGTGCCGGTTCTTGCCAGAGGGGTGCCAGCCCTTGGTGTCCTCGGCTGTGGATCGCAGAGGCCCTGGGGGCGAGCGCATGTTTCTCACCGACCTGGGGGGCGGCCTGCTCCAGGTGGAGATGATTACCCTGCGGGAGGAGGATGCTGGCGAGTATGGCTGCGTGGTGGAGGGGGCCATGGGGCCCCAGACGGTGCACAGAGTCGCTTTGGATGTGCTCCCTCCAGGTGAATTCTCCTCGGCTGGCCATTGCCCCTCCCCGCCCCCACCGGCTGCTCTTGGGTCCTTGGGGGATGGGGATCCTTAGCGGGGGTAGGAATTGGGAGGAGATATTTTTGACAGCTCCCCAGGGACCGGAAACCAAACTGGGTGAGCAGTCTGAGATAAAACAGCCAGACTTTGGGTCCCTCCCCCCCACACACCAGCAGGTTTCTCCATTGGAAGGCACATTCTCCTTCCTCACCCATGGCCTTGGCCTCCTCCTGCAGCATTTTCAACATACTTGATGCTATTTTTTTTCCCCTTAGAAACGTTTTAAACAGAGTTTTAATTTGGGCATAGCAACCTGGAATTCCCCCCCCCCTTTTTTTTTAATCTTCCAGTTTATTATTCCTGTTATAATGAGTTTGATGGCTTAAAATGATCGAATTCGTGTTTTATTTAATTTTATGTCTTCACTGAGCATCTAGTATGTGCCTCACCTTCAAGCAGGGTGCATTTGGTGCCTGAATTACTTCAACTCATTCTATTTTTTAAAAAAGAGGCAAATGTCACTAATAGATATCAGTATTGTCAACCCTATTTTGAGTATAGAAAGTACTTTATTTTGATAGGCTGTGGTTTTCTCTCACAGGCTACAATTTTCTAATGTCTAAGCATTTATTAAAAGACAATTTTAAAGTAGAAGAAGAGATTTTCCAGAAAAATTGGATGTTGTAAAAAAAAAAATGTTCTGTAGGGAAAATGGCCAGGTTGCCTGCAGAAGTGGAGACTCTACTACCTTTCTTTTATGGATGATGACAGTCTTTCATTTTCAGGTCTTCCTTTCTCAAGTAATTTGTGCCCAATCCCCAAATCACGAAATGAAGAAAGGCCTTTTTCCTCTTCTTGGTTTTTCCCCCATTTGTTAATTACGAGGTGGACTAAGTTGTCATTAGAATCCCTCTCATCTCTGGTCCATGATCATTATTTTATGTCAGGCTCTGTCTTCCTCCTTCCCTGACACTCTAAGGTCTAGTAACTCCAGCTTGTAGGACAGGATGCACTGGGGAGAGGGGCAGGTGCTGGGGGCCCAATGCTGTAGAGGATGGTTGTAGAGGATGCTCAGGCTGGCTGGTGGAGGGTGGCTTCCAGGGAGGATATGAGTGGCTTAGAAGGTACCAGGAGGGCAGGATATAGGCAGGCAAGAGGGGAGAAACAGCATCTCCAGATCCTGGTTTGGCTTAAGGTGGGAGGTAGGAATGATGAGCCTCTGAGAGCAAGGAAGACCCCTATCCTGAGGGTCTAGAAGGACTGGCCAGGTTCCCAAGACAGATCCTCAGGCCCAGAGAAACCAACCCTGAGTCCCACAGCCAGAAGTTGGGCATGTTGTAGGGATGATAGAAGCCTTGTCACAAAACCAAGACTTGGGGTCTTAGCAAGGCTCTCAGCAAGGATCACTTGGATTATTTCACATTAGGGGTGACCCTAGAATTCCTTAGATCCTGAGGGCAGAGCTTCAGATGGGCTCAACCAGCCTGCAGGGGGGTCACATGGTTGCAGGTATATGGAGAGGTCTATAGCAGGCTGTGCTGAGGCCCCTTTAGAAACCAGTCGATAGGGGCGCCTGGGTGGCTCAGTTGGTTAGGCGACTGCCTTCGGCTCAGGTCATGATCCTGGAGTCCCAGGATCGAGTCCCGCATCAGGCTCCCTGCTCAGCGGGGAGTCTGCTTCTCCTTCTGACCCTCCCCACTCTCATGCTCTATCTCATTCTCTCTCTCAAATAAATAAATAAAATCTAAAAAAAAAAAAAAAAAGAAACCAGTCGATGAGCACCAGGAGCAAGGTTGCCACTGAGGACAAGAGTGGAGAACCTATTCGGGGGCAGGGCGGGGGAGCAGGTGAAGAAGGAAGACGGGGCAAGGGTTGGGAACTGGTGGTGGAGGGGAAAGTGGGCCTGGTCACAACGGGGTAAATATTGAAAGAGCCCATCCCTGATCTCCAGAATTAGGGCCCCTGAGGAATATGCCAAGCCCACATTAGTGTTTCTTACTTGGGATCTCTCCTTCCTCAGACCCACTCCCCCCAGTCCCTCAGATCTTAACAGGCCTGTGACCCTGCCCACCATGGATGGCTATGTGCTCATTAATATTTCCTTCTGACTCAGCTCCTAGCCTGAAAGAGGAGGAGGAGACCTATAAGGTTGGGAGTCTGGCTGACGGCCCCTCCTCAGACACTGTGGATAGTGCCAGCCCTTTGGAACCCAGCCAGGATAAGAGGTACTGACAAGAGCTGTATTCGGTGGCTGGGAAAAGGGTGGTGGTGGGAAAGGGGGTGAAAGATTGTTCAGAGCCCCAGGCTAACTCAAGGGGAAACCTTATGGTTCCTTCCACCCCTGAGGAACTTCTGATCAGGCAGGAAGTCAGGCAGACCCGCCTGTCTATCCCAGTTCAGCAATGACCCTTTATCTCTGTGGTCTCCAGCCAGGATACCCTGATAATGTGTTTCTCTTCTGCCCTGCCTGAGTATGCCCTCCTCATTCCATCCCTCAAATCCTCTTCTTGCGTCCATGGCTCACCAAGAACAACACCCTTCTACACCGCTCCGGGGTTCCTGGTGAGCGGGTTCCTGGTGAGCAGCTTCCTGCCAGGTTCAGGCCTGAGCTCACCTACCCCTTTATGTCCTTCAGCATCCCCTTGATCTGGGGCGCTGTGCTCTTGCTGAGCCTGCTGGTGGTGGCAGTGGTGCTGTTTGCTGTGATGGCCAAGAGGAAAGGTAGGTAGCCGTCCACCTGCCGACCCTAGCACAGCCCCGCTGGTCATGTACCAGCTAGTCTTGTAGACAATGCTGGACTCGGTCTGTGTCGCCTATAGATGGGCTTGTCTGGGCTTTAGTAAGGCCCTCGGGTCCTAGAAGTTCCCAGACGAGGGGTGGACAGGAAGAAGGAGATTCAGTGGGAGCTGTCCTGGGGACAGACAGGAATCGGACAGGGTGGGCAGTGGGATACACAGGTGACTGGAGGAGGTGAGGGAAAGGATTCAGTAGACAGGCTGAGTGTTGAGGCAGGATGAAGGGAGTTGGAGGCAGTAAGTGGGTGGGAGGCTCCTGGCAGGGTGGGGCAATACTGGGGAGGCAGTGGGTAAGTTTTGCTGGTAGGAGTGGGATGAAGGGTCTGGACCAGGAATGAGGCTTCAGGGACTTCTGAAGGTAGTGAGGGGATGGGCTCTGAGCCAGAATGGGAAGCAGACTGTGGTGTCATCCTCTGTCTTCCCAGGAAACAGGCTTGGTGTCCGCGGCCAACCTCAGAGCAGTGGCATTCCAGGCATGGTAAGAGGCCTCTCCAGGCCCCCAGCCAAACTCCCCAGACCTTCCATTGGTCCAGCTCACCGAGAGGTCCCAGGATGAGGGGGTAGAGAAAGACTGGGACCCAGTCAGGGTCCATACCCTCTTCCTAAATGCTGTAAACTTGGCACCAGTTATCTTCCACCTTCCCACCTTGGTATTTCACCCTCCCCGATTTGGGGAGAATGTTAGGGCTTGAAAATCTTCAAAGGGAAGCCCTCTTGCCCACTAACATACTCAGGATTTGAGAGACCCAGTGTGGTCCTGGGCTTCCCCCACAAAGGGAACTGGGGCAGAGGGGCATTTTCTCTCTGCCTCACTCACCTGCTTTTGTTACAGGCCGCCTCCTCAGTGGCCCACCATATCAGTGACTCTGGACTGGGACTTGATTTGCCATCGGACATTCCATATGCTAGGCTCGACTCGCCACCTTCCTTTGACAATACCACCTATAGCGTACCTCTTGATCCCCCATCAGAGAAATCCCCACCCCCAGCCCAATCCTCATCGCCCCCTCTGCCTCCTAAGGTCCTAATGTGCTCCAAGCCTGTGACATATGCCACAGTCATCTTCCCTGGAAGGGACAAGGTTGGAGGGGCCTCCTGTGAGCCAGCCCAGGATCCACCGAATGGCCACATGCCACCCAGCTAAGCTGTCCATCATGCCGTACACTCACGGAGACTATCCCCAGAACTCTGTGCACCCAGCCAGCCAGCCCATGCCCTAGACCCTTACAATATCAGAGCAGCTAGGGACCTTAGGTTCTAATCTAATATCTTGACTTTTCTGACCTGGAGAGTGAGACTTAAATGTGACTGAGGTGTCTTGGGAGTCCCCCATGCTTGTTCCTCTGCCATTTTACTACTGAGCTAAATAAACTCTGAATGGTAATATATGAGCTCTTGATGTTTGAGGGGGAAGGAAAGGGCCTGAGTTTGACTATTCCCACGGCCTGGAAACTGAAGATTCTGGTCCAGAGTTTGTGCTGCATGATCTGCTGCCTGTTCTGCCTGTAGGGACATGGTTTCATTCTCTGGTCAGAATACTGTGATGCAGTTTGATTCAAGGGGCACTAAAAACACTTCTTCAAAAGTATTTCCTGCCTTTCTCATGGTACCTAAATTATAGATCCATTAGCTTAAGTCTAGAGATCTCTTCTGCCTTCTGCTCTGCACCTTGTAAACAAATGGCATCTTCTGATGTGACAACATGACGGGAGGAAGGGGATAATGTGAGTGAAAGGAGACTCAGGACAGTTGGGGTGAGAGAGATGGAGCTGAAAAGAAATAGGAGGGATGTTAAGGGAACAAACTGAGGATTGCTGGAGGGGAGGTGGGTGGGATGGGGTAACTGGATGATGGGCATTAAGGAGGGCACTTGAACTAATGAGCACTGGGTGTTATATGCAATCGATGAATCACTAAAGTCTATCCTTGAAACTAATAATACACTATATGTTAACTATATTGAATTTAAATAAAAAATAAAAAAAATAGGAGTAAGATCAGAAACGGAAATAAATCCCAAGCCTATTCCTTGGCAGGACCAAGGATTTTCAAGCTCCAGGAGATAAAAGACCTCTGCAGACATGTTTTATCAGAGCTGGCTCTCAACTGGGTGGACATCTGGTAGCACTGTACTCTTTGGCCTGAAATCTGGAGCCTGGAAAGAGCCCAGTGGAGAAAAGGCATGGCATGGGAAGAAGGTAAATGAATGGTAAAGGTGTGGCCATTGTCAAATGTAAATGAAAGCTAGTCCAGGCTGTGGGTGGAAGAGCCTTTAAGGTCTCTGCCAGGATTTCTTCTGAAACTGCTCAATTTGAAACTCTTTGCCCATATTGAGATGACAGATAGATGGAAAGGATGAGGTGCTCAGGAACCTATTCTTCTTATAATCATGGAGAGCTAAGCATAAAGTGTTTTTCACCATCTGGAGAGGCCTGAGTTTGGTCTAGGTACCTGAGAAAGGACAGGCAGGGCGTGTACCCTGGGCTCCAGCTGGGTAGGCCTCGTGATGCTATTTTCAGGGAACTCTGGCAGGATGTTCTGAGCCTCCCCTGATAGAGTCTCAGCCTGTGACAGAATATAAATTTACTTCTGTCCCTTGTGGAGGCAGCAGCTGCCCACCAATCAACTAAGCCCTCATTTTCCCTGGCTAAGATAACTAGTGACTTGCCTGCTGGGGAGGAGAGGCAATGAGGGTGGGGAGAGAATGTGGGGGAAGGGCAGAATAAAGTCTAAAAAGAACACCTCTGGGAAAAAGTTACTCTGGTCTGAATGTAGTTTGAACTTTTTATAGCCTGACAGAAGTAAAAGTATATTTAACAACACAAAGGAAAATACTAAGATCAATTGGCTGGTAGAGAAGAGGGAAGGAGGAAAGGGAAATATATTAATTCCATCATTGCTCATGATAGAAGTCTATGAATACCAACCAGAATCTCACTTATAACAGTAACTTCTGAGATGAAAATACAGATCTTCTAAATTTTATCATAAGAAACATATGAAAACAAAGCAAAGAAAATGCAGGTGACATGACAAGGCCATTGCTTCATATCAGAACCTTTGGAATGCAGCTAAAGCAGTTCTCAGAGGAAAAGTCACACCCTCAACAACAAGAATTAAGCATCTTACTCAAATTGCTAGTTCATTTGAAAGAAGGAAAATTATATAACTAATACATAAATAAAAGAGCTTGTTCTTTGAAATGAAACGAAATAAAGGAGACAAAGTGTTAGCTATTAACTTAAAAAGAAGAATGAAATAAGAAATGACAAGGGGAAAATAATCACAGATATAAAGACAATGAAAAACACGAGAGTATTTTGTGCTCATGGTGGTGGTTGGGGTGGGGGTAATGAATGTAGAGAAGGCTGAAATAAGTTTTTGGGGTGACTGAAATGTTTTCTATCATGACTGTGGTAGTGGTTACCTGGGTGTATATATTTGTCAAAGCCCATCATTAAAATCGGTGCTCTTTCAGGGCACCTGGGTGGCTCAGTCAGTTAAGCGTCTGCTTTCAGCTCAGGTCATGATCCCAGGGTCCTGGGATTGAGCCCTGCATTGGGCTCCCTGCTTGGCAGGAGGCCTGCTTCTCCCTCTCCCGCTCCCTCTGCTTGTGTTTCCTCTCTCACTGTGTCTCTCTCTCTCTGTCAAATAAATAAATAAAATCTTTAAAAAAAAGATAGGTGCACTTTCTTGTACGTAAATTATGTTTTGATAATTTGATTTTTAAAAAATACTTGAAAGACCATGGGGGAATAGTTAAAATAATCTTACAGAGGAAAATGCTCTTTAAATTATACAGAACTCAGAAGCCATAAAAGAATTCATTGATACATTTAAACTGATACATTAAAATAAGAAAAGACTGATATCTTTTTCTCCATGACAAAAGCACAACTCATACAAAGGCAGAGTGCTCAGTAGGGGTTACTACAAATAAATTAGAAAACAAATACTTAATAGGATATATAGATATAGCTCACAAAATAGGAAATATAAACATAGTAAAGATGCTTAACTTCATCTAAGGGAAATGCAAATTAAAAGTACATTGAGAATGACTTAAAAGAAAATGGTTAAAGAACTCAGAAAATTCTCCCCCCCCACCCAATTTCTATTTAAATTCTAGTTAGTTAATGTATAGTGTAATATTGGTTTCAGGAGCAGAATTTAGTGATTCATCACTTACATAATAACACCTGGTGCTCATCATAACAAGTGCCCTCCTTAAATTCTCTCTTCCAAGGGTGCCTGGGTAGCTCAGTTGGTTAAGCATCCCATTCTTGATTTCAGCTCAGGTCATGATTTCAGGGTCCTGAGATTGAGCCCTGCGTTGGGCTCCGCACTGAGCATGGAACCTGCTTAAGAGTCTCTTTCTCATCTGCCTCTACCCTCCCTCTGCTCACTCTCTTTCTCTATAAAAAAATCCCCTGTTCCATAAAAGCAACAAGAAAACTGGCAAAAATAGCCAAAATCAACTTTTTTAGAACTCTGGAAACCAATGGCTTGCATCAACCCCAGGAGCTTTTACTTAAGAAAATTGGCTTTCCCTCCCTTGTATCTCATTTAAAACACAACTTCATAAAGCAGTTTTTACATATCTGTGTTGACAAGCACACCATTTATTAAGATGTAACTTTTATGACATTTATAATATGAAAGAGTGGGGAGGGAATGGAACTATATAGGATCAAAGTTTTCCTACATTGTTTAAATTAAATTGGTAAAAATGTGGACTGGATTGTTTTAAATTAAAATGCTAATTGTAATTCCTACAGCAAGAAAAAAACCCTCAAAAACATAGTAAAAGAAATGGCAAGGGAATTAAAACTAAATATAAGTTGTGTATTTAATATAATGAAAGACAGTGGAGAAAGAGAGGGGAAACAAGACATAAGACAGAAAACAAATAATAAGATGACAGACATAAATCCTATCTAATCAGTAATTACAGTGAATGTAAATCAATATTCCAATTAAAAGGCAGATATTGGCAGAATGTATTAAAAAACTCATGATCCAACTACGTTTCCTGTAAGAGACAAACTTGAGATTCAAAAACACAAGTAGGTTCAAAGTAATAGGATGGAAAAACATGTGTCACGCAAACTAGCTAAAGAGAGGTGGAGTGGCTACATTAATTAAGACAAAAGGACATTTTATAATGCTAAAAGAGTAAATCCATCAAGAAGATATAATAATTATAAATATATATGTACCTAACAACAGCGTTTCAAAATACATAAAGCAAAACTGACCGAACTGAAGGGAGAAATAGACAAACAGTAGTAGATGTAGACTTCAATATCCCACTTTCAATAATAGGCAGAACAAGGTAGGTAGGTGGAAGATCAGCAAGGAAATAGTAGACATGAACAACACTATAAAAACTAACTAGACTTAACAGACATCTGTAGAACACTCCACCCAACAACAGCAAAATACAATACACATTCTTCTCAAGTATACATGTAACATTCTCCAGGATAGACTATATATCTGACCATAAACAAGTTCTTAATAAATTTAAAAGGATTGAAATCATACAAAGTATGCTTTCTGACTATAATGGAATTAAATTAGAAATAACAGAAATAAATTTTGGAAACTAACAAATATGTGGAAATTAAACAACATACTTCTAAATAACAAACGGGTCAAAGAAGAAATCACGAGAGAAATTATAAATACTTTGAGAGGAATGAAAACAAAAACATAACACAGCAAAACTTAGGGGATTCAGCAAAGCCTGTGCTTAGAGGGAAATTTAATTTATAGCTGTAAATACCTTATATTAAAAGAGAATAAAAATCTCAAATCAACAACCTAACTTTCCACCTGAAGAAACTAGAAACAGAAGAGTAGACTAAACCCAAAGCAAGCAGAAGGAAGGAAAAAATAGATTAGAGAAGAAATGAATGAAATAGAGAACAGAAAAAGAGTGAAAAAAAAATCAGCAAAACCAAGTGTTGGTTCTTTGAAAAGATCAAGAAAATTGACAAATCTTAGCTAAGGTAACTTTCTTAGCCAAAAAAACAAAGAGAAGACTCATATTACTAAATGAGGAATGAAAGTAGAGGGAGCACTCCTGACTTTATGAGATTAGAAGGATTATAAGGAAAATTGTGGACAATTGTGTATCATCAAAATAGATAACCTAGATGATATGGACAAATTCCTAGAAAGCCACAAACTACTGAAACTGACTCAAGATTAAACAGAAAATCTCAATAGATCTATAACTGAAGAGGTCTAATTAATAATAATAATTTTAAAAACTTACCAGAAAGAGAAGCCCAGGCCCAGATGGTTTCACTGGTGAATTCTACCAAACATTAAGAGTTTCAAAACCAATCTTTCACAGACCCTTCCAAAAAATAGAAGAGGCAGGAACTCATTCTATGAGGCCAGTTTTACCTTGATGTAAAAAAAAACAGACAAAGAGATGACAAGAGAACTACTGATCAATATCTCTTATGAATGTAGATGCAAAAATCCTCAACAAAATACTAGTGAATAGGCCCTAGCAATAAATAGAAAGGATTATACACCATTACAAAGTGGGATTTATCCCAGGAATGCAAGATTGGTTCTACACATGAAAATCACTAAGATATACCATATTAATAGAAAAAAGGACCAAAATCACATGTTCCTTTCAACAGAGGACAGAAAAAGCATTTGGCAAAATTCAGTACCCTATCATGATACAAATGCTCAGCAAACTAGGAAGAGCTGGGAATTTCCTCAATCTGACAAAGGGCATCTACAAAAAACTCATAGCTAACGTCATACCTAAAGATGTATAACTAAAAGCTTTCTCCCTGGGATTGAGAACAAGACAAAGATGTCCACTCTTGCCACTTTCATTCAATACTGTACTATAGGTTCTTACGAGTGTAATTAGGCAAGAAAAAGAAATAAAGATCATCCAGCTTGGAAAGGAAGAAGCAAATCTATTTCTATTTGCAGATGACATGATCTTATATATACAAAATCCTAAAGAATCCACAAAAAAACTTAGAACTAATAAATGAGTTTAGCAGTTCCAGAACACAAAATCAACATACAAAAATCATTTTTATTTCTATGCACTAGCAATGAACAACTCAAAAATTAAATTAAGAAAACAACTCCATTACAACAGAATCAAGAATAATAAAATATTTAGGGGCAAACTTAACAAAAAAGTTCAAGACCTGTACATTGAAAACTATAAAACATTGATAGAAATTAAAAAAGACCTAAATATATGGAAAAGACAAGACATTTTCATGGATCAGAAAACTTAATATTGTTAAGATAGCAGTTCTCCCCCAATTTACTTACAGATTCAACTCAATCTCTGTCAAAATTATAGCTGCCCTTTTTTGTAGAAATCGACAAGCTAATCCTAAAAGTCATATGGAAATGCAAAGGACCCTAAACAGCTAAAACAATCTTGTAAAAGAATAAAAAATTGGAGGACTCATATTCCTGATTTTAAAACTTACTACAAAGCTACAACAATCAAGATGGTGTGTACTGACATAAGGACAGACACAGAGAACAATGGGACAGAACTGAGAGTTCAGAAGTAGACCCAAACATCTAACAAAACCATATATCAACAAGAGTATCATTTAAATGGGGGAAAAGAGTAGTCTTTTTAACAAATAGTGTTGAGACAAGTAGATATCCACATGCAAAGAATGAATCTGGAAACTTACCTCAGAGTATATGCAAAAATTAACTCAAAATGAATCAAAGATCTAAAAGAGCTAAAACCATATAAAACTCTTAGAAAAAAACAGAGGCATAAACCTTTGCAATTTCTAAGATATAACACTTAAAGCACAAGCAACCAAAAAGCAAAAACCAGACAAATTGTACTTCATGAAAACATAATACTTTTTGTGCTGCAAAATGATACCGTCATGAAAGTGAAAAGACAATTCACAGAATGAGAGAAAATATGTGTAAATCAAATCTGATAAGGTCCTAGTATGAGAATATATTTTAAAAAACTCTTTACGCTCAACAATAAAGACATGTAACCCAATAAAAAATGGGCATAAGATTCCAACAGACATTTCTCCAAGAAGATCAACAAGTGGCCAATAAGCTCATAAAAATGTTCAACATCATTAGTCATAAAGGAAATGCAAATCACCACCACAATGAGATACCACTTCATACCCATTAGAATGCCTATATCAAAAAAAGAAGCAGGGACGCCTGGGTGGCTCAGTCAGTTGAGCGTTCTCCTGGTTTCAGCTCAGGTCATGATCTCAGGGTCATGAGATTGAGCCCCGCATTGGGCTCCATGATCAGTATGGAGTCTGCTTGAGATTTTCTTTCTCCTCCTGCCTCTGCCCCTCCCACTGCTTACGCTCACTCTCTCTCTCTCAAAATATATAAATATAATCTTAAAAAAAGAGAATCAATAACAAGTGTTGGTGAGGTGAGGATGGGGAAAACTGGAATCCTCACACACTGCTGGTGGGAATGTAAAATGGTACAGCAACTTTGGAAAACAGTTTGACGGTTCCTTAAAAAGTTAAACATAGAGTTTCTGTATAACCTAAATTCCATTCCTAGGCATATACTCAAGAGAATTGAAAATATATATTCATACAAAAACTTGTACACAAATGCTTATAGCAGTATTAATTAATAGTCAAACAGAGGAAACAACCCTTGTATCCATAAGCTGGTGTGAATGGATAAATTAAGTGTGGTATATCCATACAATGGAATGCTATCCAACCATAAAAAGGAATGCTACAATGTGGATGAACCTTGAAAAGATTATGCTAAGCGGAAGAGGTCAGACACAAAACGCATATATTATGATTCCATTTATATGAAATGTCCAGAAAAGGCAGATCCATAGAGACAGAAAGATGGTTACTAGGGGTTGGGGGAAGAGGGACTGGGTAGGGACTGCTAATGGGCCTAGAGTTCCTTTTTGGGGTGATAAAAATGTGGAATTAGACAGTGAGGATGGTTTCACAACTTTGTGATATACTAAAAGCCAATGAATTGTATGTCTTTTTAAAGGCTGAATTCTATCTTAATTTTAAAAATTGCCAAAAGGGAAACAAATGGAAAAAAGGAAAGAAAGAAAGGAAAAAGGAAGGAGCAACACAGTATGACTAGTTAGTGCCATATGTGGGAAAGAAGGGTGCTAATGGTAAGGGTAAATATATGCTATTGCTTGCATGTGCACATGATTTTGCAAGGATACACAAAGAAGTGGTAACACAGATCAGCTCTGTGGAACTGTTGGCTAGAGGACAGGAATGGGAAAGACTTTCACTGTTAGACACTTTTGTTCCTTCTGAATTCTGTGCCACATAAATCTATAATCTATATTTAAATATAAAAATTAAATTGATAATAATAGCTAATACTTATTGAGTACTTATTAGATAAGCACACAATACAGGTACTGTTCTAAGTGTTTTATATTTATTTTATCTGCACAATGATGTTCTTTTATTCTGTTTTTATCCTCATTTACAGAAAGGGAAACTGAAGCATAAAGAAGATGAATTATATGCTAAAAGTAACACAGCTAATAAGTAGCAGAGTTAGAATTTGAACCCCCAGGCCATCTGGCTCCAGAGTCCTTGCTCTTTACCACTAGTCTGTATTGCATCTCAGAAATTTAAAGGAGTGGAGGAGGAAGAGAGGAGGGAAGTGGTGAGAAGGACAAAGGAAGAAGGGGGTAGGAGACAGAGGAATGGAAGGGGGAATAGGGTGGGAGTAAAGGGAGAGGAGGGAGGGTAACAAGAGGATGGGGCAGGAGGAGGGGGAGTGGGAACAGGGAATGTACGGACCACACAGCATGATTAAAAAGTACTGGGCTCATTTTCCCAAACACCTCCCTGCCTGTCCTTAAAGTTCTGATCACGGTCATTTGAACAGTATATTGAAGATTGGGTACAGGATAGCTTACCATAGCCTAGGTCCCATGAAAGCCTTTATAGCCTAGTGCAAAACTCTGGAATCAAATCTGAGTTAGAATTCCAGCTCCACCATTTTGTGGCTGTGTTTCTTGGAGTAAGACCTTTCTAAGCTTCAGTTTCTTCATCTGTAATATGGGGATAATAAAAGTACTTGCTTCACAGGGTTGATAAAAGGATTTAAAGAATGTATTTCAAGCACTTAGTGCCTGGCACAGAGTAAGTGAACAGTAAATGGTAGCCCTTGTAACATTAATTAACAGACTCTACGAACACTAGATGATTGAGTTATAAAGTGTAAAAAATCAGTGGGAAGATCAGGCTCTGGGTAAGAAAGGCCATCAAACAGATAAAAGTCAAAGGTGGTGGCTCTAGAAAGGGAGAATAAAAAGACAAGCTAGAGTCATACACACCTTGGCAATTTCGGCTTCACGTGGGAATCCCCAAGTCATACAGTGCAAAAGAGAAATGGATTCCCACAGCACTGTGTCCCTCTCAAAAGATTCCTTGACTTCTTAGGAGTCCATTAGCAAGAGATCATCAAAGAGATTACCAAGAGATCTGTGCCAACAGATCATCAAAGTACTCATATTGCTGGCTTTCTGTAAGTAGCCACAACCTCTGTATTAGGGCCGTGTTTTCTATCTGCTAATGCATATTGCCTTACATAAGAAGCAATCAGTTCATTTCAAAGCCTCCCAGGCCTCCAGTCTACCGCTGGTTCTAATTTCTGCCTCAGTTGTGCCAATGACTGTTAAGAGTTAAGAAAGATCTAAGTTTCATGCTTCAGAAACATAGGCTTTTATTTTGACAAAGCTATAGATAGTGGTGACTGTAAAAGGCTAGTATATTAAATATGTACATTATACAGTATCTTAGAAAGGGGAACTTGGGTCATTTCTTTGTGTTATATACAACAAGAGAACCATGGTCCCTTCAGATGATTTTCTTTAACATATACAGTCTTTAATTTCTTCTTCATCCTTATTCTCCTTGACATCAGCCACTCTGTCAAATCCTGAAAGCAGGAACATAAAGAGGATCACAAACCTCAAAGAATGTCCTCAGCAATTACAAATCTAACTCACGGCCCTGGAAAAGGAGGAGATTTGGTGGGCTCTGGGGCAAGGAACTGTATTCTTTCCTCTCTTTCTTGTCATTTACCTTCATAGACATTACACTGTGGATTCTAAGGCCTTCCTTCTCCCTTAGTGACCGTCCAGCTACTCCACAGAAACAATCCGGTTGTTTAAGCTGGACTAAGGAGGAACTTTCTATGCCTACGGGTCACAGATGCTGGAACAAAGGGCTGAGAGAAGGGGCCATACTGCTTAATAATAAAGGGGCCCTGTCTGTCTGGGCTGGGGCTGGTGCTAGTGAGAGGATGGTCGTTATCTGTGGAGCAAGGACTAACTCCTTTTAGCTACGCGTCCCTTCTCTGGAGCAGCCTCTGACCGTCTGTAAGAATCCGAGCCTGTTTGGGACGTCACTCGGACAAGGGTTCCAGGAACGAATGCTCACTCTGTATTCCCAAATTTCTTCCAAAGGAATTGTTTTCCTCCAACCATTCTCCCTCTATCCAAATCCTGGTCAAGCAGGTGTCAAAAGGTCTGACAATGTTGGTCGAGGACATGGATTCTCTCTTTCCGTATCTCATTATAGAGGCTTTAAGTTCAGAGACCCACCGGTGATAGACGGGGCAGGTTACACATCGAGAGAAGAACTCCTCACAGTACTGAAAGGAGAGGGAAGTCCGTGAGCTCAAGGACGAATACTCCACTCCACCAGGTCTACGACAGTGCCCACTCAGCATACTCGCTCAGGGCTCAGGGGGCAGGGAGGAGTGACTCATCGCAAAGCAGGCCCAGAGTTGGTTTTGAGCTACAGGGGAACTGGAATGCCTTAGACGCAGAAGGCAGGGCTGCAGGGACAGGTGTCAAACTGTGGGTCCACTGAGAAGGGCTCAATGTTAACATTTTAACAGTATTGGATAGTAGCTGTGCAAAAGAAAGTCAGGGTATCCGGTCCTGGTCTACATGCAAGAATACCTAGGAGGGTACATGAGGTAAATGGAAAGACTTTCCAGGTGGAGGAAAAAAAAGTTTGGTCGGGGGGAAAGAGAGACAGAGGCAGTGAGGAAAAGAGTAAGGGAGAGATGCAGGCAGCAGGAAGAGTACTGCAGATCAAACTAGAACTTAGGTGTCAGGTGAAGGACAGGAGAGAAGTGGGTACCTTGAGGGTTTGGCTGCGGGTCTCTGGGGGAGTATGCATGAAGACACCCTCTGGCATTTTTTGTAACACTAGCACATGGCACTCCAGGAATCGGACAAAGCCATGTGAACCAAATAGTGAGGCATTGGTTCTTTTCACCAACTGGCGAGCCTTGGAGAAGTGGTGCTCAAACAGATTCCACTGGGAGTCCTGGGCAAACCTGGAGGGAAGAATCTCAGCTCCATCCCCTGCTTCACGACCACAGCTCTTTCACACAGCCATCACTTCTTTAAGGCTCTAAGACCTCCTGGACAGTCAGAACTGTGATGCTGGCCAGTGGCCAAGGCTACTAACTCACGTGAAGGAGACTGAAATGGAGACCGTGGGTTATCCAGCACTTAAATGTAACCTTAAACTTAACCTTCAACCTATGGGCCCAAACCTGCTCAGGGATAAAAAGAACCCTTCTAATAAGATGGGAGGGATGGGAGGTAAAGGTCTTTAGAAAGTCAGAGATGCAGAACAGCTCTGCCTGGAGGGGTAAAAGGCAGTAGCTTAAATGACCCCATGGTGTCCTTAAGTTTCTACCCTTTCCCACCAATAGGACTCTGGTACCCCATATTACCACATGGCCAGAGATGAGTGGACCCCCAGCATGACATTACTCTGAGAGTTTAGAATGCAGCTGTGCTCACAGTGTTGAATGAAATGTAGACACTCGCCAAAGGGCCGACATAGCAATCCTGTGGATAGAGAAGGTAACCAGGCTAGGATCAGCTGTCAGTGTAGGAACTGGTATAGAAGGTGTGTGGTACAGGGGAGGAGACAACATCTGAAATGCAGACACCTTGAGTCACATATGTGGTTCTTAGACTTTAAGAAATCAGGGGCTAGGATCAGGGACCATGCCCAAGGGAGAGGCTCATGACTACCTGTGTTCCAAACACAGGGCCCTATCTGAACCCTTCAGGAGTATAGCAGAGCCCTGCACAAAATTTACCTTTTCCGTAAAGCAGCAGATCTAAGCAAGCAGAATAGAAGCAGGCCAGGCCAAGGACATCACGACCCTGGGAAATGAGCGCCCACTGACTCTCCAGCACACGGACACATAGATCAAATCTGCCAAGAGACAGAGCCACTGGCACCAGCTAGGGCATGGGGAGGATGGTAGAGGAGAGGAGAGGATCTTACATCTCCAAAGTAGCCTAACATCCCTAGATCTTCTTGCCTTATCTCTATTTATATAGAAAGTATCTGTGCCTGCAATCAGACCTGCCTCTAAGCAAGGGAAGTGGGAAAATGCCTGAGCCAGTTTCCAGGTTCTTTCTTGAGCTACTGCAATTACCCCCCTGCAGAGAAATGAAGCAGAAGAAGGAGGAGGAGAAGGGGGAAAAAGTGGGGAAGGGGAGGAGGAGGGGGAGTACACATTTCCACTCCCAAACCCCACATTTAAAGACAATGCTTCCTGGAATGACTAGAGAAAAGACAGCCTTGGCTGTAAGAAATGGAATAGCATCTCCCTCTCCATTTCAAACTTCTTTGGGAGACCATACCCTCCCCTCTTAGACAACAAATACAAATGGCAGAAAATGATCTTAATACTTCTTCTTCAGAAAAGCAGATCTGAAGAGAACTGAGAGAACCAGATTCTCCAGAGCTGGTTTCTTGAGGTGTCTGCATATCTCATGAGCTTGAAAACCTAAGGAGGTCAAAGAGCATTGTGAGAGGCCTAGTGGTGAACTTGGCTTCTCTAAAAGCCCTAGGCCCACCAGCTCCAAGCCCCATTACCCAGCTTGATGGAGAAGTCAAGATGGCCAAGGCAGAGTTTGGTGTAGGCCAAGGCCTGCATGAGCTGCGCTGTGGCCAATAATCCCTCCCTGGAGAACCAACACAGGCTGCTTTTCTGAATGGCCATCTGCTCACACTGCAGCCACTTGTCTCTGTCACCCATATTCTGGGAGAACTGGGATAGGGCCACATAGGTAGAGACAACCTGTGGGGCAACAAACATGGGGCAAAATATTCTGACTGTACATACACGCTACACTTCCATCTTGTCCCTTTCCTGCATAAGAGCCCACTATGGTGCCTTGTTGCCCACCTGACCAGGGATTGCTGGTATCCCTATCACTCTCCCCAACTCCTGCTATGAAAACACACTCCTTGTTGTCCCCACACTTCTAATTTGATCATTCCCACCACCTGATCTTTAAACAAACTATTTTCTCTACCTGCCCTTCTTCTTCTCCAATCCCAGACTTCCCCTCCAAGACACTGGCCAAACTGTACTTCTATGTTTTCCCTAATGAAGGCCTCTGATACTTGTTCCTTAGAACTCTTCAGAACTGCTGCCTAGATGTCTATTATAAGTATGTGCACATTTGACATCATTGATGACTCTCTTCTTGAGATACTGTCTTCACTAGGTTTTGAGGACATCATACTCTCTTGGCAATTGCTCAGTTTCTTTTGCTGATTTCTCCTTATGACCCTGACCTCTTAACATTGGAGCTGTTAACTTAGTCCTTGGACCTTTTCTCATTCCCTTGGGGAGCTCATCTAGTTTCATGGCTTTAGATACCATTTACACACTGATGACCCCTGTATTTCTATTCATATATTCAGCTGCCTACTTAACACCTCCATCTAGATGTCTAATAGGCATCTCAAATTAAACATGTCTAAAGCCTGGCTTCAGTCTTCCCCCAAATCTGTTTCTTGTGCATACTGCCCCATCCCAATTAAGAGCATCTCTATCCATCTAGAAGTCCAGGTTGCAAATCTTGGGATTATCCCAACTCTTTTTTCTCTCCCATCCCAGAAATGATCCATTTGGTGAATTCTGTCAGTTTTCGCTTGACAGAGGACCACTCCTCCTGCTTCCTCTGCCACCACAATTCAAGCCAACTATCTCTTGCCTGTAGTGCTGGGATAGTCTCCTAACTTGCCTCCCTGCTTCCTCTCTTGCCTCCTTCAGTTGATTCTCAATACAGCAGACAGAATGATCCTATTAAAATATAAGTAGACTCTGTCACTCCTCTTCTCAGAACCTACCACTTGCTTCTCATCTTCTGTAGAGTAAAAGTCCAAACCCGTAGAGTGGCCCACAAGGCTATGCCATCTGCCATCCACCCTCTCCTGGCTCTCTGACTCACCTCCTGGTTCTGTCTCCTCCCCTCTAGTCACGCTGGCCTCCTCACTGTCCCTCAAACACGAACAGCATGCCTTGTGCACCACTGTGCCTTCTGCCTGTCCACTCTTCTCCCTGATAGCCATATGGCTTACTTTCTCATCTCCTTCAGATATTTCCCAGATGTCACCTGCTTGTTGAGGCTTTCCCTGCCATCTTGTTTAAAACTGCACCCATCCCCCAGCTCCCAGAACCCCATGGCCCCTTGCCTCCACTTAATTTTTCTCCACTGCACTTATTATCAACTAACATTCCATATATTTCACTGATCTATTGTCTGTTTCCCTGGAACCAAGATCAGTGCCTGACACATAATGGGTATTCATCAAATATTTATTGAACAGATGGATAAAAAAGATAGACAGACAGATGGACACTAAAATTAGGAAGATATTTCCCTTCCTTCTTTTTTCCTAAGTCAGCAATTCAAGTCCTTTTTTAGCTCACGGACTCCTTTGAGAATCCAATGAAAGCTATGACCTGTTCCCTACCTCCCTCCACTCGTCAAGTGTTCTTTTGAATATACACACCAAAGCTGACATTCAGTTTAGGGAACTCACAGACAGCCACACCTGAAAACCCATCTAAAAACTGCAATATGAGAAATGCTGCTCAAACATATGATCAGTGTGTCTCATAGAGTCTGGGTTATTGTGGAGTCATGCTAAACCCAGGAATCTCTCTCCTTAGCATTTTAGGTTTCTGAGTGAGGTCCGGAGGGAAAGGAAGGACTTGCTTACCTGGGCTTCATTTGCAAACTCCTCAGCAGAATTCTTCTGCATGAGAGTGGCGAGGCAGGCAAACCTGCGGCTGCTGGCTGTGTTGTCCAGGTTATAGAGCTGCCAGAGCAGGGAGAGGCAGTGGACCCGCTGCTGCAGGACTGCCAACTTCTTCTTACTGCTGTGAAGCACAGAGCGCTTAGCATGCCCTTAGTCTGCACCACTGCCCCACTGTCCCTCATCACAAAAATCCAAATCTATTCATCAGAGGGCCATCTACAGACTTTCAAACTCAGACATGTTCCTGGGATCCCCATAAGCCTTTTTAAATCATTCCTTTTTTTTTTTTTAAATAGGCCCAGTGTGGGACTTGAACTCACGTCCCTGAGATTAAGAGTCCGGTGCTCTTACTGACTGAGCCAGCCAGGCGTCCCAAATCATCCCTCTTGATTGAAAAATTTCGAGGAAGTGTTTTTAAAAGGTTCATTCTTTGAATTGCTATTTTGAATATATTTCCTATAAATTATTATAGCTCAATAATTGGGTAGCAATTTAATACTTTGTATGTATATCAGAAATAATATTGATACATATATGTATATATGTGTACACATGTATACACACATACATATGTATATCTTGATTTGAAAGAGACAGGGTAATATGTATCTTTATTTGAAAAATACAGAGTAACACCATGCTTCAAAAACAAAAGAAGTCCTCACTCTGCTACATTTCATTGGCTCAGAGAGTAAGGTAGAGGAACTGGAAGTGCTATAGGCTTGAAAGAGGAGTCTTAGGTCAATAGAGGCAACACTCCAGGCCCAGTCCTAGTTTAGTTCTCTGTGGTCCTAAAGGGAACGGGATGACTCGGCTAGGCTCCTCACTTCTCACTAGGGTTGTTTGGAGGTTGGCTTAGGGAACAGGAAGGCCAATATTTTTCCAGGAATGTTTGGAAAAAGACACCAAACCAGGTCCAAGGGAAATTCCTTTTCAGCAGTCGAAGGGCTTGCCTGGCCAATTTTTTGGCCAACGTGATCTGTCCCATGTTGAAACAGACCTGGAGATGGGAAAATGAGAAACAGTAATGTAAATGTGGGAAGAGTACTACGGGTGAGGCTCTGGTCATTTGGAGCTAGTACTTGGGCTGCTGAAGCGCTAGAGTGAGAGAGCTGCAGCAGGGCCTGGCCATACTAAACGAGCACCAGCAGGGCCATGTGCAGGTAAAGGAATGAGAAAATAGGATTGTGGAGAAAACACCCTCTTTTTCCATCTCCCACATGTTTGTCAGTAAGAAGGCTGTGATTTGGAAAGTGATGCTGCTGGACTGAGATGAGACTGTCATGCAGCAGAGACCCAGATGTTTCAGATGCCACTGAAAGGATCTGAAATGTCACCAAATCCCTTATCTGTCTTCCTTAAATAGGTTGTGCTGCCACTGTGCATGTGGGGGTAGGAGTTGAAGAACTACCCTGAGGTTATCATATCCTTCATGTTTTAAGACTAAATCCTCCAAGAAAGTGATAAAGTCTGGTGATTCAAGAACAATCTTAGGAAGACTGCACAATAACTTCTTATAAAGGGAAAGAAATAATTATTTAAACTTACTCAAAGACCTCTGGATTGAAACGCAGATAATACAATACTATGGAAAACTCTAATATTCTCTTTGGCATTCAAAGGCATTATACACATCAGGTTTACTCTCCTAGCCAGATTATCTTAAGGTTTACATTGAAATTAGTTTTTATTTTAATTATTTTTAAATTTTAAAGCTCAGCTCTCTAACAAAACATCCCCCATGGTTTTATGGAGTCATTACGTATAAATTGATAATTATCCCAACACATTTGTTCTGTTGATTTAATAGTAGTGAGGCTGGGAAAAGTTGCTGAGCTGTCCTGAGTTATTTTTACACAATAAATAAATTTACTCCATTATGTCCTTTGTAAATAGAGTGTCTTGTGGCATGCTTTCCCCAGAGCTTCTACTTGTTATATAAATCTCATTCCCTGAGGAAATTGTTATGATATAGAATAACCTATGAGGTATATTATTTTTTTTAAAAGCAAGATGTAGAATGGAATATAGAGAGCTCCTATTTGTGTATAACAAAGGAAAGGGGAGACCATATACATTTACGTATGCCAAACCCCTCTGGTAGAATACATAAAGATTCATAATGTCAGGGAAGGGACATAGTAGCTGAGTGATGGGGTTAGGGGGTGGGGAGACTTTCAGATGTATGTTCTTTTTCTTCCCCCTAGCTTTATTGAGATGTATTTGACACAAAGCATTGTGTAAGTTTAAGATGCATGACACGATTTTTTACTGAGATATAACTGACATATAATATGTTAGTTTTAGGCATCCAACATAAATTTTTTTCTTGATGAGAACTTTTAAGATCTATTCCCTCAGCAACTTTCAAATACATAATACAGCATCATTGTTCACTATAGTCACTATGCTGTACATTATACCCCTAGGACTTATTTATCTTATAACTGGAAGTTTGTACCTTTTGATCACCTTCATCCTTATGTCCAGCCCCCAGCTGTCCTGAAATTAGTTTACATGTACTCCACTAAACAAAGGACATGAATAAGCAATTGACAGAAAAATAAATGACTGGTAAACATACGAAAATAATGTACCTTATTAAGAAATACACATTAAAGCACAATATAACTTTCATCTACAGATTAGCAAGTTTAAAACAGACTGATAACATCTGATGTAAGGATGTGAAGAACTGGGAAAAATTCGAATTGATATACAGACGGTTCCTGACTTACCATGGTTTGAAATAACAATGTTTTGACTTTCACCCAATGGTGTCAAAGTGACATGCGTTCGGTAGAAACTATCCTCTGAATTTGGATCTTTTCCTGGGGGTAGCAATATATGTATGGTATGATACTCTCTCCTGATGCTGGGTGGCAGCAGTGGATGCACTCCCTGTCATCAATGCGATCATAAGGGTAAACGACCAACAGACTTACAATCATTCTGTCCCCGTATAACCATCTGTTTTTCACTTTCAGTAGAGTACCCAGTAAGTTACATGAGATACTCAACACTTTATTCTAAAATAGGCTTTGTGTTAGATAATTTTGCCCAACTGTAGGCTAATGTAAGTATTCTCACTGAGTATGTTTAAGGTAAGCAGGCTACACTACAATGTTTGGTAGGTTAGGTATATTAAATGCATTTTCAACTTGTGATAGGTATACTAGTTTTGACTAAATGATATTTTCAACTAATCATGGGTTTACTGAGATGTAACCCCATCATAAGTCAAGGAAGATGTGTAATTTTGATGAACACTTTGGCAATATATTTATTAAATGTACAATCATTCCTATCTCCCACCTTAGCATTTCTGCCTCTGGAAATTTCTATTACAGAAACATTTTTACAAGGGAAACAAGAGATATTTACAAGAATATTCACTGTAGCAATGCTTATAAAAATCTCAAATTAGAGACAACCTAAATGCATGTGAAGAAGGGACTGATTAAACTTTGATATGAGCATACAATGGAGTACTTGGCAGCTGTAACTGATTGGATGTACACTAATATGCAAAAATGTTCAGTCTGTACTGTTAAGAATAAAAGTCAGCTACAGAAGAGAATATAGAATATGATTCTACTTAAAAAACAACAGAAAATAATAATGGTATGCCTATGTGTGTATATCTGGTGGAATTTGCACATTATTAACTATGCTGGGGGCAGCATGGAGCTCTTTTCACTTTCTCCATATTATGTACTGCTATGTTTTGAATTTGTAAACTCTTTTCGCACATTATCACATTTACAATTGCATACAAAAAAAAAAGAGATTTTTAAAAGAAATAATAGGGTAACCCTCAAGGAGAAATAACTCAAACTTCAGGGCCCTGCCCTTACTTTACCTCTGACCGAAGACAGCAGAAAATGGCTTCCTCAAACTGACAGATCTTCACTTTGTGCTTTTTCAAAAATGAGAATGCTGAGGGCTGGCCCAGAAGACTGCTTGCCTTCCTCAAATAAAAGAAGGCCTCCGAACAAGACAAGGGATGGAGAAACAGGATTAGGATTTGGACGACCCTAGTGGTGTGATGAGGACGAAGGACGGAGGAAGGTTATGATGAGGTCAAGATTTGGATTGGAATCAGAATGGGTTCACAGTGAGAAACAGGGAGCTGGATGGCCCGCGCAAGTCAGGGGCAGGGCTGGCAGTGGTTGGTGCTCTTGGACTACCACGTTCCCACTTTGTGTTTTCTCCTAAACCCCTTCCAGCACCTTTCTCTCTCCACTTTGCTCCATTTTTCACCCAAGCTGACTTGACAGTAAGAAATCCCCACCAAATTCCCCAAGTGAAAGGGCTCAGCTCAGGGGCTGGGAGCAGAGCGTGCTCACCATGTAATTATCTGACAGGTCCAAGGAGGCTGCAGCAGCCTCCAGCAGGTAATAAAATGCACATGTGGTTTCTCCGATGACCAGACAGTGCTGGGTGAGGGGTGAGAGCACTAACTGCAGGATTTCCTCACAGTGACAGGGCTTTGTGGTCAACATGTCTTTCTCGGGGCTGGTCTGAGCCAGCTTCCTGTTCACCTGATCCAGGAACTCTTCCTCTGTTCTTTGTGGAGAGAAGATGAATGGAGAGTGGTCACAAAGCAGCCACTCTTCTCGGGGCATTCCCAGATCTCCAAGCCACTGTTTCCAGGAAGCTTTCCTTTATGACTCATCAATTCTACGTTTAGCCTTCTCCTCCAACACTCCATAAGTTTTTGAAAGTCAGGGACCTGATCTATACTGTCAAAGCCCTAAGGAATTTTTTAAAAACCTAAAGCCAATCTAAGTACCTCACAGACTAAATGGGGAAACAACTTCACCTGAAGAGTAAACTAACAACGTGAAATAAAAACATGAACATGATACAAGGCAATAAGTAATAATACATTTCTCTATTAGCGTATTTGAACTTTGTCACAACACATTTGAACGTGATTTTATACAACACCATCTTATCCTACAACAACCCTGTCTTTCAGGTAGGCAAAAACTATCTTCCTTTTACCATTGAGGAAATTGAGGCTTGGAAAGCTTAAGTGACTTCTAAATGACCTCACAGCTACTGAATAGAACTACAACTAGAGCTCACTTCTCTACTAGTCCAGTGCACTCCCCACAAACACCATGAGTTCAAAAGAGGTTAGATCTCTCTGAGACAGAATGATTGAAAAAGATGGAAACTGAGGAGGGCTTTGAAGAATGGTAAACACTCTGATAAATAGAAGGATGTGGAGGCCACTTAGTATTTCAAAAAGGGGGAATTGTGTGAGCAGGGATATACAGGTGAGTGTGGGGATGATTCATGTAAAGTACAGATTTTTCTTTGAAAACCATAAGAAATTAGGTTGGATAAGCAGGACAGGAAACTCTAGAGTGGCTGGTAAACTCAAGGTAGGGACATTTAAAATCGATAGGCTAGGCATTACAAAGCCAGGAGGCACATGATTAGGAAATGTAAATTCCTTTTAATATCATCTGGGATCAAACATAATTGAGAAAGCAAATTTATAGCAGAGAAAAATCTGCTCTGTGTACAGTTCATCTGAGAGTTATTAAATGAAGCTTTTCCTAAACACTAAGAAATAATTTCCCTTCGAAGAATCACAAATTGCCTTTCCAATTCTCTGTTAACTTGAACTCTGGACTGAGTACAAAGGTCACTACTCCTGGGTGGTCAGAGGAATTCCTGGTCTGCAGGTGAGGTGAGTGGCCCAGTTCAGTGGTCACCTGTGTCTCATTTCCTGGCCCCCTACACCCACTCTCAGCGTCTCCATTTACCTGCAGTGTTCACTTGTGAAGGCCTCCTGACTTCTGAATGGTTTTGTCTGGAACTGAAAACTATCTGTAGGGAGAAAAATATCATCTTCCATTATCCATCTTTGTATTAACTGAGAACATTTCCAATTCCTGACTACTTCTCCAAAGCTTAGTTCATGACCTAATTGCCTCCCCACTTGTTAAAATGGTAAGTTTAGGTTTAATATTAACCTACACACAAAATAGAATGGTGGATCACAAATTCCTTAATGGCAACTATTTATGATTCAAATAGTAACTCCTCTCAAACCTCCCAAACCAGCCCGATTCAATTTGCTAGAAAAATGAATAAAGAATATGTCCACCCGGTTTGACAGCTACTTCTAATAGAAGAAATCCCTGAATATATCTGGATTGAATTTCTGACCAGATGAGAGTGGACCACAGAGCTAGACCTAGTGAGGAAAATCATGAGGGCACCAGATGCCACAGTCCACTAGAGTCACAGTGGCCAGCAGGGGGTTTCAGCTTTACCTAGCTGGCCTTAAAGAGCCCTTATCCCTCAGATTTGACTCTTCCTCTGCAGCTGCCTTCTCACAGATCAAAAAGCAAAAACTGGGAATGATGAGGAGATGTTACCATTATGGCTCAGAAGCACGGATGGCAGGATTGAAAGGGGGTCCCCAAGAACTGTTACAGGGAGGACTTGCATTAAGTAGAAGGACCAGCTCTCTGAATGCGGAACCATGTCAAATAAGGTAGGGTAAAGTTGAGACTCAGGTAACTAAAGAATCTGGAGTTTGGCAGCTCTACCGCAACACACAATTTCCAGGGGCACCATCACATCATAGCATGTGTGACTAGCGCCCTCTAGATGTGTGCAGTACCTTTCTGCATGGCCACGCACAGAGGCCCTGAATCTGGGAATGAAGTGTCCTCAGGGCTTGGTCGTGCTGGGAAGGTCTTGAGCCTCTCTCATATAGACTGATCAGGCTGTGTAATCTCAAGCTGACACTAACTATGAATGATAGGGTAATTTCTTCACAATCCTAGACTAGGACATTCACTGTTACTTTCCTCTTTCTCCTTGGAAAGTACAAAAGTGCAAATGCCCAGAGTTCGTCAGCCAATGACTAATTTTTCCAAGTCACTGGTCTACCTTCACAGAGTCATCAGAATGTTACAGCTAGAGCAGACATTAAGAGAATAGATTAACTTCTTGATTTTAGTCCATTACCACCAACAATTCCCCATATCTCCCTTATCCCTCTCCTCTGCCAACACCAACTTCTATCAAAGTAGAAAAAGGGAAGATTTGGTTGGGTCTTGACAGCTGTCTTCAAATATGTAAGAAGGGGCAATTCTGATTTGCATTTCCCTGATGTTCAGTGATGTTGAGCATCTTTTCATGGGTCTGTTGGCCATCTGTATGTATTCTTTGGAAAAATGTCTATTCATGTCTGTGCCCATTTTTTAATTGGATTTTTTGTTTTTTGGATACTGAGTTTTATAAGTTCTTTATATATTTTGGATACTAACCCTCTATCAGGTATGTCATTTGCAAATATCTTCTCCCATTCTGTAGGTTGCCTTTTAGTTTTGTTGATTGTTTCCTTTGCCGTGCTAAAGCTTTTTATTTTGATGTAGTCCCAATGGTTTATTTTCCCTTGCCTCAGTTGACATATCTAGAAAGAAGTTGCTATGGCTGATATCAAAAAGGTCACTGCTTGTGTCTCTTCTAGGATGTTTATGGTTTCAGGGCTCACATTTAGATCTTTAATTCATTTTGAATTTATGTTTGTGTATGGTGTAAGAAAGTGGTCCAGTTTCATACTTTTGCATTTTACTGTCCAGTTTTCCCAATAGCGTTTGTTGGAGAGATAGTCTTTTTCCCAATGGATATTCTTTCCTGCTTTGTCCAAGATTAATTGACCATGTAAGTATGGGTTCATTTCTGGATTTTCTATTCTGTTCCATTGATCTATGTGTCTATTTTTGTGCCAGTACTATACTGTCTTGATCATTAAGCTTTACAATATAACTTGAAGTCTGGAATTGTGATGCCTCCAGCTTTGTTTTTCTTTTTCAAGGTTGCTTTGGCTATTCAGGGTCTTTGGTCATTCCATACAAATTTTAGGATTATTTGTTCTAGCTCTGTGAAAAATGCTGTTGGTATTTGGATAGGGATTGCATTAAAGGTATAGATTACTTTGGGTAGTATAGACATTTTAACAATATTTGTTTTCCAATCCATGATGGAATGTCTTGCCATTTCTTTGTGTTGTTTTCACTTGTCATCAGGGAAATGCAAATCAAAACTACAATGAGAGATCACCTCACACCTGTCAGAATGGCTAAAATAAACAACATAAGAAACAACAGGTGTTGGTGAGGATGTAGAGAAAAGGGAAACCTCTGTTGCTGGGAATGCAAACTGGTGCAGCCACTGTGGAAAACAGTATGCAGGTTCCTCAGAAAGTAAAAAACAGAACTTCCCTATGATCCAGCAATCACACTACTAAGTATTTATCCAAAGAGTACAAAAATACTAATTCAAAGGGATACATGCATCCCAATGTTTATAGCAGCATTATCTGCAATAGCCAAAGTACGGAAGCAACCCAAGTGTTCATCCATTGATGAATAAAGAAGATGTGGTATGTATGTGTCTGTCTATCTATCTATGGAATATTACTTAGCCATAAAAAAGAATGAAATCTTGCCATTTGCCACGACACAGGTAGAGTCAGAGAGTATAATGCTAAATAAAATAAGTCAGAGAAAGATACAAACCATATGATTTCACTCATATGTGGAATTTAAGAAACAAAACAAATGAGCAAAGGGAAAAAACAGAGAGGCAAACCAAGAACGAGACTCTTAAGTATAGAGAAAAAACTGATAGTTACTAGAGGAGAGGGGTTGGGGGATGGGTTAAACAGGTGATGTGCAATAAGGAGGGCACTTATGATGAGCACTGGGTGATGTATGGAAGTGCTGAATCACCATATTGTACACCTGAAACTAATATTACACTGTATGTTAACTAACTGGAATTTAAATAAAAACTTAAAAAAAAAAGGCACAGGGGCGCCTGGGTGGCTCAGTCGTTGGGCGTCTGCCTTCGGCTCGGGTCATGATCCCGGAGTCCTGGGATCGAGCCCCGCATCGGGCTCCCTGCTCTGCGGGAAGCCTGCTTCTCCCTCTCCCACTCCCCCTGCTTGTGTTCCCTCTCTGGCTGTCTTTCTCTCTGTCAAATAAATAAAACCTTTAAAAAAAAAAAAAAGGCACAACTCTGAAAAATTGGTGAAGTTGTAAGAAGGTAGATTTCATCTTGATGAAAGAAGCTTTCTAACAGCTGTTGACAATGAAATGGGTTGTCCAATAACTGAAAATGTTAATACAAAGAGGGTGAACTCTCATTTAGGATGTGGTAGAAGGGCAACCAGCTTTGGGGAACACCCATTCACTAACTGAAACTTCCTCAAGCAACCAACTCCTATTTATCCCTGAATTCTCACTTTTAGCATTATCTCCTTCAAGGGAGAGTGTTCCCCTACTCACTTCTCAGGCTGAGCCAACGGCTCCTTCTCTAGGTACCCCAATGCCTGGGTATGCTATTTTCATTGCCTTTACCATGCCATATCAGAATTCTCTATTTGCATGTCTGCATCAAGCCCCAAAACTGATAATTTTCGCCCATGCTTATTCATTTTGTATTCTTAATACCTAGTTGCAGCATCTGATACACACAGGGGCCCCATATATGTGTACAGAGTTTAATAATAATAATAACAACAACAATAACAACAGTAGCTAAAATGTATTGAGCACTAACCGTGTGCCTGGCACTATTCAAAGCATATTATATATTTTAACTCATTCAATTCTCACAGCAACTCTATGAAATTGGTACTGTTACTTTCCTCAATTAATTGAGGCTGGGTAACTTGCCCAAGACTGCCAACCAAAACAAGCATGATTTCTAAAGTTCCTTTTAGCTCTGAAATTACATTTTTCTTATTTCTGGTGCTTCAGGGATAAATGGCTCTTTCTGCCTATTTTTCTCCCTTAATCAGATTCCACCTTTTGGATGAAGAACTCCAAGTACATGAATACAGAGAAGTGCTGCCCACATGTCTTCTTTCTGCTTCCTGGGTTTTACCTTGGGGAGAAGGCAGCTGCAATTTGTCTGTGATCACTTGTGTTAGTACTGAGCCAGTATCTTTGTAACTACAGAACCGGGAGATCCCACTGCAGCTCTTAGCAGAACAGATGGCAAAACGGTGGAAGGGGACAAAGTCCCCCCCATGACAGCTCTGACAGCGGCAGGCCAAATCTTGGAGAAAGCAGGCACATTCAAGGTGCAGGGCTATCTGCTGTGCCTTGGGCCACAGCTCCCAAGCAGCTTCCCGTAATAGTGGCACTCCAAATTCTAGCATCTCTGTTTGAGGTAGAGATAATTCCTCTTGCAGACTGAGAGGAGAGTCAGCATCTGAAATATAGGAAATCTAAGTGAGAGTCTCCCTTAAAGGCCTTTTATGCTATCAGTAGCAAACTCCCAATCAGATGCTGCTAGTTTATAAGAAAATTTTATTTACAATTCCTCTGTATAAAGTATATTACACCAATCTGAGAGTGACATTGACCATATCTTGTACAAAGTACCACAGAAAAGAAATGGTCAGTGGTAAAGAAGTACGCTGAGTAGATTTCTTAGGTGCTCCTCCTAAATTGAGCTTTTTTACTACAAATTACTATAAACATCAAATCATCAGAAATGCTCTGTTCAGGGATGCCAGGGTGGCTCAGTCAGTTAAGCGTCTGCCTTCGGCTCAGGTCATGATCTCAGGGTCCTGGGATGGAGCCCCACATGGGCAGGCATCAGGTTCTCTACTCAGCAGGGAGTCTGCTTCTCCCTCTGCCTGCCGCTCCCCCTGCTCGTGTTCTCTCTCTAACGATAAAATCATTAAAAAAAAAAAATGAAATGCTCTGTTCAAACATAAGGCCCAAACATATTTCAAAGTCAAAGGGAAATTATTTGTGGAATATATGTGCTTTGGGTAGTCTATGCCATAATTTTATCATTTGGAGAATTTGAGATTGCAAGCTATTTAATGTGTATCTTGCTTTGCTCATGGTCTGTTTCAATTCCAGATGTGTTTATCTTCCTTAAAAATTTCTAAAATTAGGAACAGTTTATCCTTTTTTTTCTTATTATTTATATCTAGAAACCAATAAAGGATTATGGTAATATTTTCTGAACCAAAAATCAAGATACAGATATTTAACACATGGGGTTAACTAGGAGCTAAAATTCTTGGAATTAAAACAATTCTGAAAAGTACAGGTTATTCGTTCACTATAATCATGGCTCCTTTGTGATTAAAATAATCACTTCTCCCCATTTCTTAGCCATAGTTTTAGGGAACTGAGGCCCATGATAAAGGATATTGATGTTCTTTTTGAACACAAATATCCCTACCCAAGGCTCTCTGTTCAGGTAAGAACAAGGAAGCAGCTCTTCCTCACCTGACTTTTTCTTCTTCTGCTCTTTGGTTTGTTCAATAATCTTGATAGAGGAAGGCACTAATATTGACTCGGCAGGAAGCTCTTGACTCTTGCTGAACCAGCAGAGCACATGTATATCCACAAGAGCCCTCAGCACCTGAAGTAGCTTGTTTTTATTCCAGCCAGGCAGGAGGTGCTGCAGGAGATCTATGTGGAAGGAGTGACCAATGACTGCAGCACACTTAACCAGCAACTGCTCCTCTAGGCTCAATTGATCCAACTGGTTTACTGCTATTTCTGGAAAACAAAACAAAACAAAACAAAACAAGAGAAGTGAACAAGCTTTCTACAAACACAGAATACATTGTGTTGATAATCTGTTCACTTAAAAACAAAAAAGGTTTTGCCGGGTGCCAGAGTGGCTCAGCCGGTTGAGCTTCTGACTCTTGATTTCAGCTCACGTCATGCTCTCAGGTTGTGGCATTGAGCCCTGTGTCAGCCTCCCTGCTCATCAGGGAATCTGCTTGAGAGTCTCTCTCTCTCTCTGCCCCTCCCACCCCCTTTCTCGCTCTCAAATAAATAAATACAACTTTAAAAAAAAAAAAAAGGCTTGCTTTTGGTCCTCCCCTTCTCCGCTCACCCTAACCTCTTGAGAGAGCCTTCTCTCTCAGTCCTCATTTGTCCTTATTCCCCATTCATTGTTCAACCACCACCACCAACAATCAGGTTTTCACTATACCACTGAAACTGTTCTCCCCATGGTCACCAAAACCTTCATTTCTAAAAAGAACATCCCCTGATTATGCCTACTCAATTCTGATGGTTTCTCCATTCTTTATCTCATCAGTCATTATAAACTTACTTTGCCCTCTTCTTAGTCAATTCCTGCTATGTGTGTAACACTATCTCTTCACTAGCACCATAGATTTTCTTAAATCTCAGCCACATTATCTCCCTTGCTTACTGCCTCCTCTAGCATAGGAATATGCACAAAGAGAAACTCAGGACCTAATTTTTATCAAATAACTAGAAAACTTCTTAGGCATTAGTCAGACCCAGAGTACAAGGGGCTCACTTAAGTAAAACATTACTCAAGTAGCATTACAAATCTCTTAAAGGCTCTTTGGGCAGTGCCAGAACTTATTTCTAGAAGGCAGGTTTCTTTTTTAGAAGAAAATGGAGCTAGTGTGATAATGAAAGACCTATATTCAATCAATCACCAAATTACTAAGCGCAATGACATCTGTAATTGGTTTGCTTGAGGTTTTCAAGGGACTTGCCTTTTAATAATGGTGGGAGAAGCACAGTATCCAAGTTCACATCATCCTTGACTGTGCAGATATAAAGTTCCTGGTCTTCTTCAGAGCCAGCAGGAAGAATACCATATATTGTAGATTTCATTGCATTGGCTGTAGGGAAAGAAGACTATGACTGAGAAAACACCATGCTCAGTGACTGTAGTTTTAAAGGCACAAAATTACAAGAATTCAGTCAAGGAATTAACAGGATGAAGATAAACAGAGCATATGTTTTAAAGTGGCTTACCCCACCCATCCTGCCTGCTAATTTTCTCTTAGAAACTAACGACATTTTCTCTACCATATGGTATCCAACATTTACACTCTTCCTATTTACTTTCCAGTAGCCCTCTCTTCTATTACATCACAGTCCTTGGATGCCTTTCCAGATTTACACAAACTTCTACCCCTTCCTCTTCTCCCACCCCCTACCCAAATCATCATCCTCATCAGTAATTAATATGCAATTCTTTATTGAACTCTTATGTTTATAAATCCTCTTTTCCTATCCCTACCTCCTGGGCTGCTCAAAAAGGAACTATAAGAGATTGGCTCGATTAAGTTCTCTGAGGCAGGCCAGGAAGGCTTCCTCTTGCTTATAATGTTAGTATGGAATGGGCACATGCTTCGTAAGGGTCAGGTGATGCCATATCAAAGGATGAACCCCAGCAGCCAGATGACGGACGGTAAAACGCTGGAAGCTAAGCTTACCTGAGAGTGTCTCCCACTTGCTGTTCTTCTCCTCCTTTTGGAGGTCGTGAAAGAGCAATACATCTTTGGAGAGAAGGTCCTGGCATAAGACCTCACAGTAGAGGGGGTTTCCAAAGCACCTGTGGAGAAGGTAGCTGTAGAGAGGTAAGTAGGGGATTGCTGACTAAGATGCCCACTTGAAGAGAGCCAAGTACAGGGATATTTTATACTGAGGAATATTTCTCCTTTCTTTTTTCTTTTTTTAAATATTTCTCCTTTCTTAAAGTCAGCTTTTGATGATATATACTAACAGAGGTAAGCAGCAACACAGAAATGTAAAAAAAAAAAAAATTCTGATTGGTTTGAAATTTATTTTAGTAGTAACTTCTCTTTTTTAACTATGTTGTTTTTATTGCTGTTAAAAAGAACAAATGTCCCCTTACAAAGAGCCCTAGAAAGTGGCCTGATCACATATAAACTGACACCAGAAGCAAGCCATCCAAGTCCTGTCTTGTGAAAACCTGGATGATAGCCTAGGGAGGTAGCCCTTTACTGGTTTACTAGGAGACTATCTATCCTTGAATCTGGTCTTGGGCCTCATCATGGTTACTAAGGCCATTCTCTCCCCCAACATGGGTAAGTGAGACCTGAGCCTTCTCACTTATATTATGGCACTGGCTCTGCCCTTAATGAAGTGCTCAGCTAGTCCTAGCCACTCACATCTGCAGCTCTTGGGGGATGCTCACCACCCCCAGTTCCCAACATGCCATTCGCAACAGTGAGGTTGTTGCCAACTTCAAAATGGGCACAAGGACAGCCTGAGAGCTCTGCAAGAAGTGCTGGGCACAGCCACACAGGGTGAAGGTAGAGGTCAATGTCATCACCATGATGATGGGCACAGTGGAGAGTAATGTTTCCAAAAATTCCCAGGAAGCTGCATCCATATATTGGGCTTCGTCAATGAGGAAAATCAGTGGTGTTTCCCTCACTGCCTGAAAATAACAGCAAACAGTGACAACCTTTGATTAGAAATGAAGTAACCTGATTTTCAAATGTACCATGAATTTCCCAACAGCAATTTAAATAAAATGTCAACACAGGCTGGGATTTTCTGAGTAAAATGTGTCCTAAGTCCAGGTAATATTTTATTTTATAAGTATAAAATATAGCCAGTATATCTAATTTCTAAAAAAATGTCCTGAGGTTCTTTGGACAAGAAAATACTCTAACTGAAAAACTAAATGAACATCAAAATATTCTCCAAATCAAACTTGAAGCTTTCAAACATTTCATTTTGGCAAAGGCTTCAAACTGTGTGGGAATTCATAATACTTTATATCAGTAACTTCCAAACCAGGCTGCACATCAGAATTACCTGAGTGCTTGTTAAAGCTACCAATTACCAGGCCCTATTCAGGTAAACTTTTAAAAAATATACTCATTTTTAGCCACATTCCCCACTCCCCTGCTGCAGCCGGTAACCATTCTAAGGTGTTTACTGTAATCCTTTTGTTTGTATTGTGTTCTTATGAAAGGTGCATCATTGTTTTGTTAAGTAAACTTTTTATGTAAATGCTACTATATAGATCTCCTTGTTTGTCTTTTTATTCAGGATTATTTTTAAGACCACTCTGTGTTGCAATGTTTTCATCTATTCCCTATTTCTAGACTTCTGCATTATGCTGCATAGCTCTCATCCATGAGTTCATGCCATTGCGTCCCTCTCGTCCACAAACACTGCCGTGAACAGACTCCCTGAGACATAGGTCCAAGAGTGGAATTGCTAGGTCTAGAAGACGCATGTTATTAAAATTTGACTAGTTACTTCTAGATTGCTTTCCAGAATGAATACATCAGTTTCTGCTCATAGATATTTTTGACTCTGTAATCTGGGTTAAGGCTTGAGTGTATTTGTAATAAATAGGAGGTAAAACAGCTATCTGCTTGCATTTAGAAACCCTGTTTTAAATTAAGAACCAAGGATCAGGGAAGAGCAAAGAACTTTTCTTGTATTCTGTGCAATAGGATTGATTCAAGGTTAAAGATAGATACAAACAATGAAGATATCACAAATAGGCAGGCCTAAGTCAAGGTGTGCTATGGATAGATTAAAATAAGCACAAACAATCTCCACATATTAAGAGTTAATGGTATGTAGCAAAAATACCCACCTCCTGAAGCACTTGAAAAAAACATGCCTTAACCTTCTTTTGTCTGGTCAGGTCATCCATGTGCGAAACTTTGAAGGACAAGGGAAACTAACCAGGAAAATTATTCATATATTAGCATTCACAATGATGATCTAATAAAAATATACAGGTTCTCCAAAGGGAGCAGATAATGATTCTATTTTGAGTGAGAATGGGTTTCTTCTATAGGACGGGGCATAGGGTCACAAATGCTGACCCAACATCAATATAGAGTTCAGAGAGTAAGATGGAAAGTCAACGGGAGGTTAGAGGGAGAGAAAGAGAGAGACCTCCTTTCCATACCCAGACTCTGGCAAACCCTTAAAGGGTCATGACTAAGAAGTAAAGTGACAGGTTGGACTTAGCAATGTCACTTTAGACAGCTCCAGTACCCCAGTTTTTCCAAGTATGCCAGAATGAATGAGTGCATGAAACTTGTTAGAAAGAATTGCAACGGGCATCTCCTAACATTGTGCTAGGCCATGGCACGTGAGTTACCATGGACCTGAGAGTCAAAGTGAGGCCATTCCTCCAGCACTTTGGCAAGGGCCAGAGCCCCAGGCCTTACGGCTATGCCGAGGACTGCAGAGATTTTACTTTTCTCTATTTTCCATTATATACAATGCCCTGCAGGCTTGGTAGATTAGGAGAAGCGATGGAGGAAGAATAAATGGAATTGTGGACCAGGGAATTCTTAAGTCTGCTCACTCTTGGGTACCACGTAAACCCTAGACCACTGGAAGCTTTTGAGATTCAGACGCTGGTTCAAGTGATAAACTCCATGGCATGGCTAGGGTTAAAGAACAAAACATTACAACTGACTTGAGAACACATGGATAAAATTGCTGGGGACGCTCAACCGGTCAGTATCACCTTGACAGATTTAACACTCACATTTACACTATGATCTCTTATATATCACCTCCTTTAAAATGTATGCACTAATCACATAAAGTACTATAATCATCATTTCACAGGTGAAAAATGTAGTCTCAGGCAAAGCAATTTGTGCCACGACATTCAATTAGCAAGTATTGGAGTCAGTCCTAGAATCTACTTTCCTCAACAAAGAGAAAGCCTGGGTTTTGGTGTCAAAGGGATTTCAAATCTCAACCCTGCCATTGCTAACTATATGTTCTTAGGCTATACATATATGGCCTAAGGGCATTAGATTAGAAAACAATCCTGGGTCCAACTATTCACCAAAAATAACATTAGTATCCAATTCAGAAAGCCACGGCCTTCATTACCTTCACAAAGAAGAGGTCATTAAAAAGGCAGTGAAGAGGTTCCTCCACCATCCCACGGAGCTGTTTGTGTAGGCACTCTTGCCGGTAATAGGCTGGACATGCATCAATCTCAAAGAAGATGGCCATGAGGGTCTGGATGGCATAGAAGCACTGCTTGAAATCTGCTTCCTTCAGCTTCAATGGTAACACCCTGTGAATGTTAATATGGTCACTGGGAGTCCCTTGACCCACAGAGAGGTTACTCACTCCACTAGCCCAAGGATGCTGAATCTAATGATACAAGAGTCTTACCAACAAGGGAAAGGAGCCTCCAGAGAAGTAGACACTGAGCCAGAAAGCAGGAATCTTTACCTGTGTCCTTCCTTTTGGGCTAGGAAGTTTATTTCAGCCAACAGCTGACTTTTTCCATAGCCTTTTCCACCTTCATACAAAACTGCTTGTCCCTTCTTCTGGTGCAAACATTCCCGCTGTGCCATTTGGAAGGCTTCTAATTCTTTCTCCCGGTCTGTAGAGAGACAGGGAGCACCTAATACTCCTGTGTTTTTAGTAGACACTCTATTTATTTTGCAAAGGTAACTCTCAATGGTTTTTTCCCCTAGAATCCTGGGCAGAATCCCATTCTTTGATGAGGCTTCACATCTCTTTGCATAAAATCAGTTCTGGACTACACAGAAATGTGTGCTGGGCTTGGGGGTTTGCTCTGGAGCCTAAATAATAACATTAAGAATAATTAGGGACCACAGAGACATGGGAGCTACTATATCTTCTTAGCTTTTTGTAACATTATAACATTTTAGTTATACTGTGTATATATATATACATTATAACAATCTAGTCTTCAAAGTTGGTCACAGGCTATGTAAAGATAATAGACTAATAGATATAAATGAAGATAAATATAAAGATAGGGAATATATAGTGTGTGTGGTAACAGTCTTGGTGCCCTCTTTATGGTCTCATGATGAGGAATTTTCCTCTAGAGATGATCCACAACAAGCTGAGCAGACCTCAATAGCTGAACTCTGACTTACAAAGATTCTTACTAAATGTTGGTACTTCTCAGGCAAAGTGAGAAGACTCTACCTGAAGTGTAAACATTCAACATGGAAAAGAAATGGCAAGGCCTCTTCAAAATTAACATAAATTCAGTAAGAAGGTTGCTCTCTATTCTTTTAATATAATGCTTAGAAGCACTTAGTCTTGCATTTCTTAAAAATCACATTTAACCATCTACAGCTGGAAAAAATATGATTTAAGGTAGAAAAGAAAACTCACCTAACAAAGGGTGATTTTTATTTCTCTCTCTGGCCAAATGTCTCCTCCCAAACATTCTGGGAAAAAGGACAAAGGGAAATGTGTCTATTAACAGATTGGGATAGATAGAATATATATCTCTAAATAGCTAGAAGACAAACTGTCTCATCAGCAAGTACTTTCAGATAATTGAAAAGGTCCAGAGTTCTATATAAGAGTTGTAAAAAATTAAAAATCTTTGGGAGGAGGAAGGGGAGAAATACTGATTGTTCCAGGCTCAGAGAAGTAAATAAATTGCGAGCTACACAAAGAAAAAAAGAACACCCAGATTCGTGACCTATTGCATTCTCTTCCTGTTGGATAGCAAGAAGTTCACTGAGGAACTAGCTAAGAGCTAAACAGAAAAGCTAAAGATCTCAGACACTAAACCCTCCTGTTATGTCTCTTATTCCAGCACGCCAGGACTCGAAGCATCTTTCTTTCTAGTTTCATACACTCAAACACTGATGATTCCTATACCCTGATTCTGTAAAAGAGATGGGAATAAACTATTAATGACACTCACATACATCTCCTATGGCCAAGGTATTCATACATCTTCCCTGGGTTGGAGATATTTTTCATCATCTTCTCTGGGAGTTTCTTGAAGTTGTAAGCAGGTAGCATGGATCTTAGATATGTTACCTCATCACAGGACACCAAACCTGGATAAGCAGTTATCATTCTGGCCACAAGGCTCACCTTTGGGCCAATAACTGTGTCAGAGAGACAGTAAAGAAAAGGATGGAGAATTTTTGAACCATCTCCTCCACTTTTACCCCGTAAGTCACAGAGCTAATAGTCCAATGTCCTGTTCTACCTGTATATTCGTGTCTCGCTACTGCCCCAATCACGCCACAGAATACTGGTCCGTTGGTAATACTGATGGAAACAAGCCTGGGGGTCAGAAAAGCAACAGTGGGTAAATACAGTCAGAAGCCTCCAAGTCAGGCACTAGAGCTGTGACTCCTCAGATCCAGATGTCTAGTTTTAGAGCTCAGAATAGAAAAGGCCAGAGACTGCTGTCTACATCACATGATGTGTATAAAGTTACAAAGGAACAAAATAGTCCCCGTACTCATGGGAGTTTTAGTTGGGGAGCTATTATCAGCAGAAAGACTAAATAAAAACACCTTATATCTGTTAGATAGTTTATATGTTTTTTAAAGTACTTTCAAATTGATTACTCCATCTGATCCTTTGAGGGATAATTAACAACAAATATGTGAGGTATGTAGGGCAAATATTTTAACCCCATTTGACAAAATAAAAAACAAAACCCACAACTGAAGGAGCTAATTAACTTTCCCAGAGTTACACAGCAGAAATCAACAGAAGAGTCAGAATGAGAATCCAGGCCTCCTGACTCCTAGCCAAGTGTTATTTCCAATATACCATGCTGCCTCAGATAAAACCCCAAAATGAAAAGTAGATCAACAGTTATCAATACAGGGTTAATGGATCAATTAATGCTAGAATGTCAGAGTAAAGGAATAATCACAGGGTCAGGCTGTTGATGGAAGCCTTCCTGAAACGAATTAGCCTTTGGAATACATTTTAAAAACAAGTAATATTTTTCATTCATTCATTTGTGTATAGGTTCATTCATTTAACAAGCACTGAGAAGTATGTGCAGTACCAAGTACCGGGCTAGGTGTTTAAAATATCTTGCTCTGGATAAGTTCAGTTTCGGGCAGCAGGAAGGTGGTAGAAATTGAAGGAGGCGAAGAGACATATTTATAAGTTAGCAAGACAAATACTACATATTAGAGATCAGTATAGCAAATTAACAGAGCAAACAGAATGAATATACTAACTCATACTAGAGAGTTAGAAAAAGCACTCAGAGAGGGTGTATGATTGGACTTTGTAAGTTGAAGTACTGTGAAAGCGGGGCAACAGCATTCCTTTCAGTGGGAAAAGGCAGAGACTCTGAAAAGCCTGCTGTGTTTGTGCAAAACTAAGCAGTTCAAGATGGCTACAGCACAGACGGTGTGTCCAGTAGGGACAACTGAAGGGAGATGTGGTCCTACCTAGGCCAGGAATGGGAAAGCACTAGAAATATGAATTATTTAAAAAGGGGGCATACACTGTTCCAGGTGAAGAAAAGGTTCAAAGGTAGCAAGTTCATACATAACAGGGAATAATCAGACTTACTTGATGTGAAAATTCACTTGATGTGAAAATTTCATGTGACGGATAAGATATGTGGATGGAGAAAGAGGGTACAACGAGGCATAAATTAGTTTCAAGTTAAATCTACAAATAAACCATTTTCAGTTGTTTACAAAGAGCACAAAAAGTGGCAAAAATGCTAACACTACTGTATCTTTGCCATCAAAATTCTCCTGCCTTCTTCTAAGGCCAGGATTGAGGACTTTTACTTGGGCCCATTGCTCAGGGTGAGTAAGAGACACCCAAGACCTAAACCACGCAGTTGGTTCTGCTGCCACACCAGAATAAGACTAAACATCTTTGGATGTTTCACCATGCTTCCTTTGTCTAAAATGCCCTCTCTCGCTTTCCCCAATTGTTGAACTCCAGCGGTGGTCCCTTCCTATCTTGATAATTGCCCTACAACTTCTCTTCCCATACCTCCCCTCCCTGTAGACAGGCAGCCTTTGTTCTACATTCCCACGACATACAGACATATTATTTGTATTATATTAATTTACACATTTGCTTGTTCCTTTGTGGTGTTTTTAAATCTTGTTATGAGTATTTGGTGCCTCCCTCTTTCACCCCATTAGATGGAAACTTATCTTCATTTTCCCTGGGTATCTATTACATAATTCTGTGCCTAATGATTCCTTAATAGAGCTTATTTTCTGACTTCCTTTAGCATGTTCTCTCCTCTTTAGGCAGATTCTGGACACTCTCAACCCCAGCTACTTGTTACTGCCTCCTACCCTGCCTGAAGAGCCCCCTGGGGCCTGAGAAGCTCCTCTCTGCCCCACCTTCCTCCTCACTTGGTCTCAGCAAGATTCTCCCAGCAGAAGCTGAAGATGCTGAAGGAGCTCTCCAGGGCATGTGCACACTCATCTGGCTTCTTATCCCCAGGAAGGCCAAAAACACAGAGGAACATGCAGCCCTGGGACAGATGACAAAGAAGGAAAAGAGAAGTTTACCCAGGGAAAGAATATGCTTGCCTCAACTGGACCAACTCCCCTGAATGAGGCCAGAGCTTTTCCCCACTGGTTTTCTGTTAGGAATGTTGAATTCTACAGGATTCATGAAATGGACACTCTGGGCCACATCAACATGGAGATTAAAAAAAAAAGAAGAAGAAATAAAATCTTGATTTAACTAACTCTTCAAAGAACTGAAATTTAAAACATAAGAAAAACTGATGTCAAGAACTTTTCAAAAATTCCATTTCTAGTATATGCCTTGAGCTGTCTATCTACTCACATTTTTATTCACCTACAATGTCATGTATTATGATGCTGCTCTTTTTCAAGCTCCTCAATTATCAGAATTATCTGATTACACTCACTTTACTAATAGAACCAGAAAAATATGCTTTTGCTCTGACAAAGATTTTTCAACAAGAATTGAATGAAAAAGGACATGGAGATAATCTTCAGTTACCCTGAAAATTAAATTAACTAGAACATCCCATTCCTTAACAATTATTAGTTGAACTTTTGATGTCCTATAGCTTGTCACAAAATAAACAGCAGGGAATTTGACTTACATATGTGTTATGTGGGGAACAAGACTATTATTCCTCACTCACCTTTAATGCTGATGGGTCAAGTTTCCTTGTACTTACTTTCTCAAACATAAAGATCCGGCTTAGCTGGCCACCCCCTTTCTCTATGACTGTGGAGATGTACAGGGCAGCCTCCTGGATAAGATGACACAAATGCGACATCCATGCTGTCTTGTGGAACTCTAGGCTGACCAAAACCATAGTCACGGTACGGAATTCGGATATATACTCCATAGGCTGCCCTTCATCAATCTACAAAGACACAGTGAGTTATCGTGCCTGTATCTTCAACTCTCAGTATCATGTTTAAGCATTTGAATTTTATATTCCATGGTGAGTATGAGAAAATAACTTACAGATGTCAGACAAAAAACTTAAAATTCAGGTTTGAGAAGTATAGAAGATGTACAAACCAGTACACTTGGAATTAAAACTGTTTGACTTTAAACCTAATTCACTGATGAAATTTGCCACACTTTTATGTTTTCTCTTAGAGGTAATTTGATATGTCCATTCTACTAGTCATTATATCACTTACTAAGGGATTCATATAGATTCATATATACACAATCAACACATATTTACCAAGCATATACTCTCTACCCTGTTTACTAAACAATGTACTAGCTTCTTGAGGGACACACTGAAAAACAAATATGGCTTCCACTTGCTAGAACTGAGAAATTTGAAGTTAAGACATGTCATCACAGGAACTGGTACAGATGGGGAAACCTGCCAGCATTACAATGGAGAGGAGATGAACTGGATCAATATGAAAAGGTCATCACATATAAATGTACACCTGTCAACATAAACACACACACACAGTCTACACGATGACTCAAGAACTAGGAAATAACCTTCTTCAAGAGGTTTTTCATTATGTGCTTCCGCAGGGTTTGTTCAAGCGTAGAGTCTGGATCCAACTCCAGGGCAGTTCTTAGAGTATCTGAGAAAAGGAAAAAAACCAAAATGTCTCCAGCCATGTGGAAAATTTATCTTTGAAATTTTGGGCTTGGGGAGAAAGGACCAAGTAACTTACCAGCACTTGTCCGGTAATGTGGCAGGTAATCAAGGCACTTGTCAAAATGCTCATCAAAATCAAATGGGTCAATGATCCGCATATCTCTTAACTACAGAAAGGAAACTGCTCAATTGGGCGCCCACCCACCGACTGGATTACTGTTGGTCCCTTAACAGAGGGGCTGAGGATGCCATTTCCCTTGTTGATCAATGTATCTTTCCAGCCTTATTTTTCTGCCTCATCTAACTTCCTGGGAGGATATCTCCCACCTCCCTCCAAAATAGAGTTCTAATTGTTGTTGGTTTGGTCAAGCCGTATGTGACCAGCACCAGAGCACTGCCCTGTGTAGGAAAAAGGCCTTTTCAGGACGTGCAATGGATGGGACCAGCCTCCTACCTTCACAGCTTCATCCTCCCTCATGATTTCCACTTCAAACATGTACTGCTCACAAAGCTTCCAGCAGTTCCAGGACAAGACAATCTCATTTGCCTGAGCCAAACGCTGAGCTACCTGGACATCATCCACATTCCGCCCAATCACCAAGAGGTACTGTCGCTGCTCATCTCCAACAATAACCTGGGAAATCCGACCTGCAGATAGACCTATCCAGAAAAAAGGAGACCAGTGGTGAATAGCCAAACTCAATTAGAAAACTATGCACAATGCTCTATGCATCAAGCCAGTCTTGTTATTGCAAAAATATTAGGTGAGCTTACCTTCAAAAATATTACTTTGCCTCAGATTTCCTTCTGTCTTAAGCATATCCAGACACATTCAAACAAGCCTGGGTTGTATGGAGGAAGAGGCAAGAGATCCTAGGCCTCTAAGATTCCTCTCTTTAAGTTGTTCTTCTAATAAACAACTAGGTTGTGATGGCAGAGACCAAATGGTTATGCTCAGAAACTGCTGCCACAGTGACTATACCACCTCCTCAACATATAATCAAGGCTAAGTGATTTTACCAGATAAAATACCAATCAGTATTTTACCAGACTTGGGCTTTGCCATACACTTTTATTCTATCCCCTGTTTTTCTTACCCTGAGGCATTTCTCACTGCTAATATGGCTAAAAAACTGGTTTGCTTGCCAGAGGAAAAAGGACTATATCCAAGTTAAGCCTGCCCTTAGCTAAGTTACCCAATCTAAGCTAAAAACAAAGGGAAAATAGTTTTAAAAGAATCGTAGAGATATATGCTTTTGGCCAAGATGGATTAACAGGTGGTGAATTTACCATAATTCCCAGAACAATGAAGAAACTAGAAAAAACACACAAAGTAACAGTTTTCAAGATATTGGACATCAGGTAATAAAGGACAATGATACTTGAGAGATAGGAAACAAACCAGGTGAACCCTCTGATACCCTAGCTTACTGCATGGAAGAGTTTCCAGGACTTCTCAGGGAGGGGAAGCCCAGGTATAGCCCAGAGGACTCCTCAAGTTGAGGAAGCAGAGCTAAGATCTGAGGAGGCCAAGGTGGTTAGAGTTCACAGGGCACTGTGAGTACTGGAGAGAAGTGTACAGAGAGAGAATTCCAGAGATTTGTACCAGGTCCCCTACAAGTCTTTAGCTGAGTACTGAGTACTAACAAGTACATCAATGTGAGGAAACCACATTGAAACCAGGGAAAGAGCCACCTGAAGAGATTAGAAGGAACAAGCCCCAGTATCACGCAGGGCTGGCAATAGTTCCTATTCCCACCAGCCAGAGTGTCAAACTTAATAAGTCACAGGACATTAGGTACAGTATTCAGAAGGGGTTTGCCTCAGGAATGGGGCAAAACCAGCCCTGGACTAAACACTGCTCTGGTCCCACCCAACAAAGTTTAAAAGCAAAACCTGAAAAAAAATCAAGCTAATCACATCCCAGAAGTATGCTCAAGGATATTTACAGAAGTATAAAAAAATCCAGCATCCAACAAGGTTAAATTCACAATGTCTGGAACCCACCCAAAATAACCAGGCATGCAAAGAAAAAGGAAAATACGATCCACAATGAGGAGAAAAATCAATCAATCAAGCCTAACCCAGAATAACACAGACAATAGAATTAGCAAATAAGAAAACATTAAAAGTTATAACTATATTCAAGAACCTAGAAAAATGAGTAAGTAGAGACACTGCAAAAGAAAAGGTCTGTACAGTTGAAAACACAGCAATAGAAACTATCCAAAATGAAAACAGGGAGAAAAAAAGAAACAATGAACATAATATCAATGACTTGTAGGACAATTTCAAGCAGCCTAATACGTGTGTAATTGGACAGAGGAGGAGGAAAAAAGAAAAAATTATTTGGAAAAATAATAGCAGAACATTTTCTAAATTTGATAAAACCCCAAACCCTATAGATCCAGAATCTCAATGAGCTGCAAGCACAAAAGTGACAGAAAACTGTATCGAGGGACATCATAATCAGATTACCCAAACCCAGTGATAAAGCCGGGGTCGGGGGGTGGTGGTGGAAGGAAGACATTATATACAAACAAAGATAAAGATGAAAGCAGATTTCTTGTTGGAAATGCTGCAAGCTAGAAGTCCTGGAAACTCTTCCATGCAGTAAGCTAGGGTATCAGAGGGTTCACCTTGTTTGTTTCTTATCTCTCAGGTATCATTGTCCTTTATTACCTGATGTCCAATATCTTGAAAACTGTTACTTTGTGTGTTTTTTCTAGTTTCTTCATTGTTCTGGGAATTATGGTAAATTATGGTAAATTCACCACCTGTTAATCCATCTACTGTACCTAATGTCCTGTGACGTTAGTTGTTGTTTAGAAAAACAACTTTAATGTAAGAGAGAAAATCCCCCATCAACCTAGAACTCCATACCCAGTGAAAATACCTTTCAGAAAACAGAGGTGAAATAAAGATTTTTCAGACATACAAGAACTGAACTAACACATATCTAGCAAACCCACACTATGAGAAATGTTAAAAGAAGTTCTTCAGACAGACAACAATAAGTGTTAATAAGGACATGGACAAATTGGAACACTCACACATTGCTGGTGGGAATGTAAAATGGTACAACTACTTTGGGAAAAAGATTAGCGATTCCTTAAAAAGCTAGACATATATCTACCATATGATCTAGACTTTTCACTTCTAGGTATTTACCCAAGAGAAATAAACACATGTCTCTCTGAAGACTTATACACAGATGTTCATAGTAGCTTTATTTGTAATAGCCAAAAATTGACAACCCAACTGTCCATCAAAAAGTGAATGGATAAACAAATTGTGGTACATCCATATAAAAGAATACTACTTAGCAATAAAAAGGAGTGAACTATTGATACATGCTACAACATTCTTTAAAAATGAAAATAATCTCTAATGACAGAAAGGAGATCAGAGATTTCTTGAGGATAGGGAGGGGAGTGGTAGGAGGGGGGTTATAAAAAGGGTACAAGGAAACTTTAGTGAGTGATGGGTATGTACATTATCTTAATTGTGGTGATGGTTTCAAAAGTATACAAATATGTACAGTATCAATTATGAATTATCCATCAATAAAACAAAAAGCAAAACAACAAAAAATGCTAGGACAGAAGAGATGACATATAATTCAGAATATAATTCTTCAGGCTGCTCCTCAAAATATAAATGAATAGGTAGAGTCAACTTTTGCCCTTCATTCAGAAACCTCTTGATGTTTCTGTACTTCTGTGAAAGAGCTTTGTATATAGAGCTTCCCCTCTAATCCTGACTCTGTCACTGATGCAATTTTTGCCTCTGTGTGCAGCTTTTAAATCTTTATTGTATTGTATTACATTTTTGATTATGTAATATAATAACATAGTTCAAAAATCAAACTATATAAAGAATATACATAAAAATTCCTGATTCTGATTTTTGGGGAAGATGGTACAGTAAGAGGATCCTAAATTCACCTTATCCCAGACACAACTAGATAACACTTGGATCAGAGCAAACAACCCAGAAAAGGACCTGAAGATTGGCCAAACAAACTCCATGCCTAAATGTAGAGAAGAGGCCACATCGAAGAGGGTAGGAATGGTGAGGACTCAGTGGGAATCTAAACCCCGTGGGTGTGACTGCTGGAGGGTGGGAGCCATGGACAAGAAGAGGGGCAAGAAGCACACTGGGGAGCCTACAAGGAGAAGAGAAATCCCTATAGCATTTGGCTTTAAAAATCACAGGGGCTGAATTTCATGAGTGCTTATTACCAGTGGGACTTAAAGCCTGGAACTTTAAAAAACAGTGGGCTTGGCTCTAAGAGAGCCTAGCTAGTGATAGGAAGCTGAGCCCCTGCCCTTAAAAAGACAGCACAGAAAACAGCGTGCAGAGATACAGCTTGGAAGCTGAAGTTTGAAAGGCGCCTGTGGCTTATGGGAAGGAGAGTCAGTTACTAATCTCAGAGTTCACTGAGGGACTTCTCCAGGAACAAAGGAGCTGGCAGGTGCCATTTCCCTTCCCTGTCCCTCATCATAAACATACAACTGCTACCTGTGGGAATGAGTGCAGGGCCGGCACTTGCTCCCTAACTTGCATATACTGTGCCCTGCCCTCTCCAGCCAGAACTGCCTCAGTCCTGGTGCTGTGGATTCCCTCCCCAAGAAGACCCAGGCAATCCTTGCCAACACTGTATCTCCTGACCTCCCACGGAGGATGCACACACTTTGTTAAAATTACACACCCTGCCCTTGCATGCTGTCCAGAGTACCCAGGTCCTTCGGCCTCTGCAGCAGCTACACATGCCCTGTGGAGGAGGACCACTGCCACTAGTTAAAAGTACACATCCCACCCACTACTTTCAAGAGCAAGAGATGTAGCTGACTTTCCTAAACACATAGGGACAGAGAGAGTTAGGCAGAATGAGGGGACAGAAGAATATATCACAAATAAAAAAACAGGACAAAACTACAGCAAGAGACCTAAGTGAAATGGAGATAAGTAACATGGCTGATAGCAAATTTAAAGTAATGATAATAAAGATATTCACTCAAGAAAAGAGTGGAGGACATCAGTGAGACCTTTAAGAGATAGAAAACATAAAAAAGAACCAGATGAAAAACACAATAAATGAAATTAAAAATAAACTTGATAGAATCAACAGCAGGGGGAAGAAGGAGTGGAACAAATTAATGAACTAGAAGACAGAGTAATGGAAAGTAATCAAGCTAAACAAATAAGAAAGAATTATGCAAACTGAGAATAGACTTAAGGGAATTCAGTGATGCCTTCAGGTGCAATAACATTCACATTATAGGGCTTCCAGAAGGAGAGAGAGAAAAGGGAGGAAAATTTATTTGAAGAAACAATAGCTGAAAACTTCCCTAATCTGGGAAGGAAACACATATCCAGATCCAGGCAAAGAGGTCCTCCAACAAAATTAACCAAAGGAGGTCTACACTAAGACACATAGTAATCAAAATGGCAAAAAGGAGTAATAAGGAAAAAATTTTTTAAAGATTTATTTATTTGAGAGATGTGGGGGGGAGGGGCAGAGGGAGAGAGGAACTTAAGCAGACTCTGCATGCAGCACAGAGCCCTACGTGGGGCTCAATCTCATGACCCTGAGATCATGAACTGAGCCACAACCAAGAGTTGGACGCCCAACCAACTGCGCCACCCAGGCATCCCCAAGAAAAAAATGTTTAAAGCAGCAAGAGAAAAGACAATTACATATAAGAGAAACCCCATAAGGCTATCAGCGGTTTTCAGCAGAAACTTTGCAAGCCAGAAGAGAATGGTATAATATATTCAAAGTGCTGAAAGGGAAAAATCTACAGCCAAGAATACCCTATCCAGCAAGGCTATCATTCAGAATAGGAGAGGTAAGTTTCTCAGACAAACAAAAACTAAAGGAGTTCATGACCAACTAAGTCAGCCTTACAAGAAATACTAAAAAGGACTCTTTGCGTGGAAAGGAAAGACCATAAGTGAGTGTATGATAAGGAGGAAACACAAAAGCAGTAAAAGTAAGTATTTCTGTAAAAAAAAATCAGTCAAAGGAGTCACAAAAAAAAAAAGGATGAAAATATGACACCATATACCTAAAACATGGAAGGAAAAGGAGTAAATAATGGGTTCAAACTTAAGTGACCATCAACTTAATATAGACTGCTATATGCAGAAGATGTTATATATAAACTTAATGGTAACCATAAATCAAAAACCACTAATAGATATGCAAAGAATAAAGAGAAAGGAATCCAAGTATATCACCAAGGAAAACCAGCAAACCATGAAAGAGAGAAAGACAAGAAAGGGTCAGAGAAAAACTACAAAAACAACAACAAAACAAGTAACAAAATGACAATAAATACACATCTATCAATAATTACTTAGAATGTAAATGAAATAAATGCTCCAATTAAAAGGCACAGGGTAACAGAGTGGATAAAAAAACAAGACCAATCTATATGCTGCCTACAAAAGACTCATTTCAGACCAAAGATATCTGCAGATTGAAAGTGAGAGGATGGAGAAATATTTACCATGTAAATGGATGACAAAAGAAAGCTGGAGTAGCAATATTTATATCAGACAAAATAGACTTTAAAAAAAAGAATGTAACAAGAGACAAAGAAGGATACTATATAGTAAGAAAGGGACAATCCAACAAGATATAACAATTTAAATATTTATGCATGGGAGCACCCAAATCATAAAACAATTAGTAAGAAACAGAAAGGAACTAATTGATAATAATACAATAGTAGGGGACTTCACACCCCACTTACATCAACGGACAGGTCATCTAAACAGAAAATCAACAAGGAAACAATGGTTTTGAATGACACACAGGACTAGATGGACTTAACAGATATATTCAGAACATTCCATCCTAAAACAGCAAAATACACATTCTCTTCAAGTGCACATGGAATATTCTTCATAATGGATCACATATTAGGCCACAAAACAGGCCTCAACAAATTCAAGAACACTGAAATCATACCATGTACCTTTTTTAACGACAACACTATGTAACTACAAATTAAGCACAAGAAAAAATCTGGAAAGACCATAAATACTTGGAGGTTAAACAATATGCTACTAAACAATGAATAGGTCAACCAAGAAATCAGAGAAGAAATCAAAAAGTACACGGAAACAAATGCAAATGAAAACACAACAGTCCAAAATCTTTGTGATGCAGCAAAAGCAGTTCTAAGAGGGAAGTTTATGGCAATACAGACTTACCTCAAGAAGCAAGAAAAATCTCAAATAAACAACCTAACCTTACACCTAAGGGAGCTAGAAAAAGAACAACAAACAAAAACCAAAACCAGCAGAAGGAAGGAAATAATGAAGATTAGAGCAGAAATAAATGATACAGAAACTAAAAAGCAAGTAGAAGAGATGAATGAAACCAGGAGATGGTTCTTTGAAAAGATCAACAAAATTGATAAATCTCTAGCTAGACTCATTAAAAAAAGAAAGAGGACTCAAATAAACGAAATCACAAATGAAAGAGGAGAAATAACAACCAACACCACAGAAATACAACAATTGTAAGAGAATATAATGAAAACTAAATGCCAACAAATTGGAAAGCCTAGAATAAATGGATAAATTCCTAGAAACATACAACCTACCAAAGCTGAAGCAGGAAGAAATAGAAGATTTGAATAGACCAATTACCAGTAAGGAGATTGAATCAGTAATCAAAAACTCCCAACCAAAAAACAAGTCCAGGACCAGATGGCTTCACAGGCAAATTCTACCAAACATTTAAAGAAGTTAATACCTATTCTCCTCATATTATTTATTCCAAAAAATAGAAGAAAAACTTCCAAATTCATTCTATGAGGTCAGCACTACCCTGATACCAAAACCAGATAAAGAAACCACAAAAAAAGAGAACTACAGGCCAGTATCTCCGATGAACATAGATGCAAAAATCCTCAACAAAATACTGGCAAACTGAATCCAACAATACATTAAGAAAATCATTCACCATGATCAAGTGGGATTTATTCCCAAGATGCAAGCGTGGTCCAATATTCACAAATCAACATGATACATCACATCAATAAGAGAAAGGATAAAAACCATATAATCATTTCAACAGATGAAGAAAAAGCATCTGACAGTACAATATCCCTTCATGATAAAAGCTTTCAACAAAGTAGGTTTAGAGGGAACATACCCCAACATAATGAAGGCCATATATAAAAAACCCACAGCTAACATGATCCTTAATGGGGAAAAACTGAGTTTTTCCTTAAGGTCAGGAATAAAACAGGGATGTTCACTCTAAACACTTGCATTCAATGTAGTACTGGGAGTCGAGCCATAGCAATCAGACAACAGAAAGGAATAAAAGGCATCCAAACTGATAAGGAAGAAGTAAACAGAAGAAGTAAAACTCTATTTGCAGATGACATACTATATGTAGAAAACCCAAACACTCCACCAAAAAACTGCAAGAACTAATAAATGAATTCAGTAAATTTGCAGGACACAAAATCAATGTGCAGAAATCTGTTGTATTTCTATACACCAATAATGAAGTAGTAGAAAGAGAAATTAGGAAAACAATCCCATTTACAACTGTACCAAAAATAATAAGACACCTAGGAATAAACTTAAAGAGGTGAAAGACCTGTACTCTGAAAACTATAAAACACTCATGAAAGAAATTGAACATGACATAAAGAAATGGAAAGGCATTCCATGCTCATGGACTGGAGGAATAAATATTGTTAAAAAGACTATACTACCCATTCATTTATCGATGGCCCCTTGGGCTGCTTCCATAATTTGGCTACTGTAAATAATGCTATAAACATATGGGTGCATGATCCCTTTGAGTTAGTGTTTTTGTATTTTTTTGTGTAAATACCCAGTCGGGTGATTACTGGATTGTAGGGTAGTTCTCTTTTAAACTTTTTGGGGAAACTCCACACTGTTTTCCACAATGGCTGCACCAGTTTGCATTCATTCCCACCAACAGTGCAAGAGGGTTCCTCTTTCTCTACATCCTCCCCAACACTTGTTTTCTTGTGTTTTTGATTTTAGCCATTCTCACAGGTGTGAGGTGATATCTCATTGTAGTTTTGAGTTGCATTTCCTTGAAGATGAGTGATGTTGAGCATCTTATGAAAAGATGGATAAAGAAGATATGTGTGTGTGTGTGTGTGTGTGTGTGTGATAATGGAATAGTATTCAGCCATAAAAAATGAAATCTTGACATTTGCAACAATATGGACAGAGCTAAGAGTACAATGTAAAGGGAAATAAGTCAGAGAAAGACAAATACCATATGATTTCATTCATATGTGCAATTTAAGAAACAAATGAGCAAAGGGGAAAAAAAGAAAGAAAGAATGAGGCAAACCAAGAAAGAGACTCTTAACTATAAAGAACAAACTGATGGTTACCAGCGGGGAGGGGGTGGAGGGATGGGTTAAATAGGTGATGGGGATTAAGGAGGGCACTTGTGGTGAGCACCGGGTGATGTATGAGATTGTTGAATCACTATATTGTACACCTGAAACTAATATAACACTGTTTTTCCTCCAATAGGTAACTTTTATTCATTTCTTATATATCTTTCCAGTGTTTCTTTATACCAATATGAACAAGAAAAATTCTTATTTTTTGTCTTTATATAAAAGGTAGCATACCACAGTGCTTTGCATCTTGCTTTTTCTCAACTCTATTTTGAAGATATTGCTATATCAGAATATCTTTTTTTAAAGTTGCATAAAATCTCATTGAGTAGACATATTGTTTATTTAACCAGTCTCCTATAGATCGTTTTATTACAAACCATATTGCAATCAATAATCTTGTACCGATAACATTTCATACACAGTCAGGTATACCTATAGGATAAATATTTGGGAGTGGGATTGCTAGATTGAAGAATAAATGCATTTGGAATCTCAACAGAGATTACCAAAATTATTCTTCATAGAAGTTGTACTGCTGTTGACTCCCATCAGCAGTGTATATGAGAGTGTTTATTCCTCATTGCCTCATCAACAGTGTGGTCAGCATATGAATTTTTGGTATCTATAGGTGAGAAATAATCTCAATGCACTTTCAATTGGCATTTTTCTTATTATGAAATTAAACATCTTTTCACATGTTAAAGAGATGTATTTCTTTGTCTATGTACTATTTATTTGTGTCCTTTCCCATCTTTCTCTTAAAAAGTTAGTCTTTTGTTGATTTCTAGGTGTTTTATTTCTAATATTCACCCCTTATGTATATAAGTTGCAGATTTTTTTTTCAGGTTGCCATTTATATTTTGAATTTTTTATAGTGGGGTTTTTTTTTTTTTTTTAATTGATCACTCTTTTAGTAGCTACTACCTATCTTTAGCTGCAGGTCCTGGCCTTCTCTGGTATGGTAGATCCCAAATTTCTCCTGTATCTCCAGACTGCATTTTGCCACCAGGGTAATGATGTCACTGAGTTGATTCTGTTTCACTGTCCAGAGTGCCAGAAGCACATTCCCTGCAGACACACAAGACAGGCTGACAAGCATCAAATATCTGGATTCACCTGATCTGGGCAAAGCTCCCAATAATGCAGAAGATATCATGCAAGGTGTTAGGCAAGGTTCCTTGGCCCTGTACATTATGCTTGGTTAAAATACTGCCTTGGAGCCTCAAAACCACTCATCATAAAAAACAAGACAAGGCAGAAGCTGAAATGTTCCTTTAGTTTAAGAGTATTTTTGATAGGGCGCCTGGGTGGGTCAGTCATTAAGCATCTGCCTTCAGCTCAGGTCATGATCCCAGGGTTCTGGGATCAAGCCCCACTTCAGGCTCCCTGCTTAGTGGGAGGCCTGCTTCTCCCTCTTCCACTCCCCCTGCTTGTGTTCTCTCTGTCAAATAAATAAAATCTTTTAAAAAAAAAAAAAAAGAATATTTTTGATAATCTTCCCTCCACCAGTATACTAACAGAATGGGAGGGGCACTAGCTAAGAGGTTCATAAAATGTAGGTTCATGTTCAAATCTAATTTCAAGGGTGACTTAATTAAGTTTAAATTTAAAAAAGAGGCCAACTCTGTGGCATATAGCTATTAATGATCCTGAGAGTTCTCCAGATAGGAGATTTTGACTCCTATCTTACACATAGCTTCTGCTCTCAAGGCCTAAGTTTCTCATTAGTTTTCTCATGCAAATAAGTGCTTTACAGGCACTTATTTTTGTCATTTAATTAAGCAAAATGTAAAGCACCTGTGAACTTAATATGGGCAAGGTTTTTCTACTAGACTGAGAGAACCTTTGAGTCAGTGACTGTGTCTTCTTCATCTTTGTTTCCCCAGGGCCAAGGACATATTAAATAACAAACAATGCTGAATAAACAAATATGCCAAATTCCACCTAAATGAAGTCTGCCTCACTTATAGTCCTTTAAATATTCAGAAAAACTTAAAAATACCTGTGATATTTAGGATATCTCCTCCAAAACACAGCACATCTGAAACCCAGTAAAGGAGAGAGAGGAAAATGCATCAAAATCAGATATACTAGATCATGGCAGAATTATATATGATCAGAAGAATGGCCTACTGAGTTTTTCCTCATATCTTCTCTAGTCTATTTGTTCCCTCCAAGGGACTCTTTTCTTTCCCTTAGCTTCTCCCCAAATCTGTCTGTATCTATATCCATCTTCTTGAAAATGAAAGAAATACTCCTGTTCTCTTCAAAGTCACCCCATTGGGCTCTGGATCCTAGCCCCTTCCACCCTTTCAAGAACTTCACTCCCTCCCTTATCTCCTCTCCACTGGATCATTTCTATTAATATCTTAAAAAATGAAAACAAAACACAACACTCTACCTTCCATTGCTATTAGCTCCATTTTTCTGCTACATCTCCATCAAAAAAATTCTCAAAAGAGTTGGCCATATACAATTTGTTCCTCATATCCTGTTCACTCTTAAAACATTTTCTCTACCATTCTCTTCTCCGCTTTCTCCCATCTGACTCCCAACTCCATCACTTCACTAAAATTTATCAAGATCATCAACAGCATTCACCTTGCTAAATTCAGTATTTTCTCACAGCACTGTACTTTATACTTTTCATTTTCAACTCAGCCAGTCCCAGCCTTCCTCCCCCAGAGACTCTACTTCTCCTTTGGCTTCAGGAACACAATATCCCACCTAACTGGCTGCTTTATAGTCTCTTTTGTAAGTTCTTTCGCTCTAATCATAATCTGTCCTGGGGTCCCTCAAGCCTCAGTCTTAGGCTCTCTTTATTTACACTCTCCTCATGTGGACTCAATCAGTTCCTAACTTTAAGTAACATCTTTATGCCATCAACTCACTTCTTGTCTCTAACAGAGATCTATTCTCTGAGCTCCAGGCTCAATCATTGCTACTGACTTCATTCTCCATTTGAATGACTTATTGACAACTCAGTATATTCAAAACAGAACCCTTGATTTTCTTTCTCAAAGCCCAGTCTTTCCCATCTCGGTAAGTGACACCACCATCAATTCAATTATGAGAGCCAAAAAATCCTTGAGAGTCGCTTTTCTCACTACTTCCCACTGATATCAATATACCAGCAAATCTTGTCTGTTGAACCTGCAAAACACATTTCAAATTAATTCATCTCCTTATGGCTCCACTGCCTTATCTCTAGACCAATGGTTTCCACCTTGGCTTCAACATTGGAATAGCCTGTGAAACTTTAAAAAATCTTTATTTCTGGGCTTACCCCAAGGTATTTTGATTTAATTGGTCTGAGGTAAAGCCTAGACACCAGGATTTTTAAAAGCTCCCCGAGGGCGCCTGGGTGGCTCAGTTGGTTAAGCGACTGCCTTCGGCTCAGGTCATGATCCTGGAGTCCCTGGATCGAGTCCTGCATCGGGCTCCCTGCTTGGCAGGGAGTCTGCTTCTCCCTCTGACCCTCCTCCCTCTCATGTGCTCTCTCTCATTCTCTCTCTCTCAAATAAATAAAATCTTTAAAAGCTCCCCGAGTGGTTATTTAATGTACTGCCAAGGTTGAGAACCACTACTCTAGACCAAATCAGCCTCATCTCTCCACAGCTGCTACAGCTGCCTCTTCTAGCTTCTATTCTTACCACCTGCCCTCCATCAGCTCCCTATAGTCCAATTGCCATAAGGCGGTTAAAATGAGCTTTCAAAAATGTAAATCGGACCACATCACCCCCTTGCCAGAACCTTTTAACAGTTTCCCTTTATACAAAAATACATAATCCAAACTCCTTATGGCCTACAGAGTTCAATGATCTCCAATCTCACCTCAAGCCACTCTTCTCCCTGCTAGCTATGTGTTAGCCACACTGGTCTTCTTAGTTCCCAGAACATGGCAAGCTTCCTCCCATCTTAGAAGCTTTGCACTTGGCATTCTTCTGCCTGAAACACTTTACTCCTCACTCTTCACAAGGTGTTTCTCTCATCCTTTATGTCTCAGCTTAAACACTTGAGGAGCCTTCTATGATCACCCTACCTGAAAAAAATCTCCCACTCTACAATTCTTTACCATTACACCCTATTTCCTTTGTAAAATGTATAATGTATAATGATCTTGTTTACTTATTGTCTCTCCCACTAACATGGAAACTTCAAGAGGGCAAGTATTATGTCTTATTTTCCCCTGTATTTCTAGTACCCAGCAGTTCCTGGTGTTATAATATATACATAATTTCTATCTCTCCCTTTCATCTAAACTTGATGAGAAAAATCTAAAGACCTTTTACAACTGTTCCTCAGGGGTAAGGGGTGAATCAAATAAACAAGTTCCTAAAGGAGATTTCCACAAAGTAAAAATTCTGATGAATCTCAGAATTATGGACATGACTGTATGGACACTGTCAATAAAAGAAGGGAATGTTATATAACTACTAAAGTTTCAGGACCAGATTAATTTGTTGGGTGGGTCTAACTAGACAGAAAGCTCCTCAAAAGTAGGTTTTTGCACACCCTGACCTTTTACAGTATATATCACAGAATATGCACTTAAGGGCGCCCGGGTGGCTCAGTTGGTTAAGTATCTGCCTTCAGCTCAGGTCATGATCCCAGGGTCCGGGGATCGAGTCCCGCGTCAGGCTCCCTGTTCAGCCAGAAGTCGGGTTCTCCCTCTGCCGCCGCCCGCCCCTCACTCCCCTTGTCCTCTCTCTCTCTCTCTCTAATGAATAAATAAAATCTTAAAAAAAAAAAAAAAGAATATGTACTCAAAATGTTTACTGCACATGTAAGGAGCTGATTTTTTTTTTCTTCCCCAGATTAGGCAAATTTCCACAAGCTTAATATACAGCAGAAAATGAAGAAAACATTCCTATTTCATAGGATCAAAATACAATAATAGAATGGGAAGGTGTTTTGTAAATTATATCAGATATAAACACATGTGGCACATTACATTATTGTTGGAAGAGGCAACCTGAGGAATACTTTATTTTGAAATAAAATATAAACATGCAAAGTAAAAATTAAAATTAATTTGTTCTCCCTCCCCCCCTTTCTGAACATTGAGTCAACAGAATGTGAGACTAGGTAGAACGGCAGATACAGGCAAAAATCTAGCCTGTTAGTAGCAAGAAAGAAGAAATAAAAGATGAGTAACACTAAAGGAATAACCCTTTGGTATCTTTTCAAGTAGCCCAGGCCTCCTTCTGTTACAAACCCTCAGGAGCCCAGCACCACACCTCCTGGCTTCCCTACAATAGTCACTCACGCTCCACGATGTCACTGATGTAATAACTGAAGATGTGGGCCAGTTTGTCCATGTCATGTTCCGACTTGCAGGTCAGGCTGAACCTATCCATTAATGCTGTAAACCCTAGCCGACAAAACAAAAATTACGTTAGCTGCAAATCCTGAACTTTTAGGCTCTATTCCCTGCACGCATCAAGCCAGTGTAAAGAAGCAGATCTCCTCCAGATGAGTAATTTCATTACCCTTTAACAAGTGTTCATACTCGGGCCAGGCTGGCTGCCTGCCGCCCCTGGGAACCCAGAGAGCCACACCCCCTTCATTTCCAGGAGCTGCAGATGAAGATTCACCCACAAGCACCCTCTTTCCTCTCTAGCCAGCTAGCCCGTTTCTGCCATACCCTCTTAAGCTCCCTGGCCAAGGGAGAAACGGGATTTCGCCCCATGTGAGAGACAGAGACCAACGACGAGGGGGATGGATTAAAGCTTTATGGAGAACTCAGACGGTGAGCTCCTCGAGGTCAGGCACCTTCAGACACTCATCTTCAGATCCATGACACAGACTCCACAAATATTTGTTGAGTAAGCGACTCTCGAAGTAGCTGCTGGGTCTCTAATTCCTAGCGCAGTGGCGGGCACACGCTTAGGGACCCAAAGAAGGAATTTATGGAGCGAAAAAAACGGGCTGAAGCGGTATGCGTATTGGGAGCAAACTTAGGTTCAAAGCCTGCTGAGTGGTCCCGCGAAAGTCCTTTTCCGTTTCCGAGTCTCCTTTCATTTCTGAAGTGAACTCTAGGGCTACGCCAGACCATTCCGGAAGGAGTCCTCCAGCTCCGAACCAGGTTTCCCGAGGCGGCGGCGGCGAGCAGTTAAGCCGCGCCTTTGCTCGCCCGGGGGCCAGGCCTGTAACCGCCGCGGCTCTCGGAGCCAGGCCCAACGGCCGCCCCTCGGGCAGGGCGGGAGAGCGACGCGCCTCGGCTCACCCGTCACGTGGACGCCAAGGAGGACGCCCTGGGCCGTGGCGAGCTCGGGTTGCGATCGCCGGGGCTTCCTGAACACCAGCAGGTCGGGAAGCAGCGCCGCCAACCGGGCCTCTACGGGCCACAGGGGCGGCGCCGCCAACCGCTCGCCGATCGCCATGGCGGCGCGGGGTTGCCCCCCCAAGCTACCGGAAACGAGGGTCCTCCGGGTAGCAGCCAATCCGCAACGACAGCCTTGGCGGGTCCCTCCCACCAACCAATCAGTGTGGGCCTCCTCGGGGAGCTGCCAATCCAGGGTGGCCGCGGGCCCCGCCCCGCCCCACCTGCCTCCCGCCCCCTGCGCCCTTGCTCTGGCCTCTGGGAGGCGAGCGGCAGCAGGTTTGGGGGGGGGGGGCGCGGCTAGCATGTTCAAGAGTCAAGAAGACGCTTAAAAATCTTTATCCGTGAAAATGTTCCTTCAATAAGACAGACTATTTCAGATAGTGTCAATAGAGGGGTCTTCTATCACCAGAGTGGAATGGGGGCTCACCTCTGAATTTCTAAGGGCAATGTTCCATTAGCATCTGACTAAAGCAACCTCAGTATGGTTTTTTACCAACCTTAGGCTGACGCTATTTAATGGTCAGTGCCTTAATTAGAGAATTTCTTCTGTTTCTCTTACCTGCCAGGACAGGTCTATAGGGTGTCTCCTGAGTGTGCTCCGGACGTTGCTTTGCTCTAGCTCCAGCTCCTGGTTCCCTGTGTGGTAAATGCCTGAGGTTGCCTGTCAGTTGGCTCACATTTTTGGAGAATTCCCATTATTAATAGGAGGAGTGTGTTGTGGATTTTTAACAAGCAGGAAAGCATCGTGTTTTTCTGCAGAAATAAAATCTTAAAATTACAGCTTCACTATCTTTAGTTCTACAATACCCAGTCAATGCTGTTTCAGTGATAACTGATGTGAAAATGTTGGGGTTTGGGAGAACAGCCAAGAAAGAATTCTTGAGGCGTCTTCCGTGCAAAGCAGGTGGTTTTATTAAAGCACAGGGACAGGACCTTGGGCAGAAAGAGCTGCACTGGATTGTGAGCAGTGGTTCATTGTATCCTTTCAAGTTGGGAGGTGGTTAGGGATTGTGTAAGTCTCTAAGGAATTTGGAAACAAGGTTTCCAGGCCCCAAGGGGCCATTTATTACCCTCTACTAAAATCTTAGTCATGAAACCCTTTAGATGTGTATCAGTGGGGCCATATGCTTGGAGGATGATTGCCAACATATATCTTGGGGAGTAGAGATAAAGGAAGCTTCCAAATGAATTTAATATGTTAAAGGAAACTTACAGGATCCTGGAGGTCGGGCTAATGTCAAACAGGTTGCCTTTTGCCACAGCAAAGTATTAACATCTAGGCAGTTGAGTTCCTAGAGGAAGGCCACTCTGCCTGTCTCAAGTACTGGTCAGTGGGCTGTTAAGTTGTAAGGAAATTTAATTTTTTTCCCTGTATTTCTTTTACCTTTGTTCTCCACATCAATAACTAAAAGGCTTATTTTGCTTGTGGAATACTTCATCAAATTTTGGTTAACACTTCCAGTAGTAAGATGAAATATACAATCTGCACGGGTGGCAGAGATTACCTCTTCAGCAGGATGGAAGGCAAAAAGGGAAGAAAAGGAGAGTAAGGGGAGACATGCAACTAAGAGGCCTGGACACTACAAGTTTGACACTGTCTACAGAGCTCCCATGTCTACAAAGATCATAATGGCAACATTATAAACACAACCTAGAACCCAAGGAATGTGAAAATTCAAATCACTTTTTAGTATTTTTACAAATTTATTTTAAAAAATAACAATTGCAATGACATCAATGATCGATCATCTGTACTCCCCCTACTGCTGGGAGAAAAACCTATACTGTTGAGTCCCAAAGGAAAATCAAGACATTATTATCAGGCACCCAATAGCCAGAAAAAGCTCTGTTGGTCCAGTGGTATAGACACTGACATGTTCAATGTACCAGTGCAATTAAAATATATACATTTACAATTATCTTGCCAAAAAGAGCACTCAAGAAGTGAAATAACTATGCATTAAACCAATTATTCACTCATCCATTCACTCTGCATCTATGAAGTCATCACTACAGTCACAAGGACAAATAAAAGAACCAGTAACAAAAAAAATCCAAACCTCAACCCCCCACTTTGTGGGTTATTATGATGTGCTAAAATGGCCACAATAAAAGGGCCATGAGCTATCTGAAATGCAGTGACAAAATGACAACTGAAGCATTTCTTTCAAAAAAAACAACTCAAACTCATGGAAAAAAAATTCTGCAACAATGTGAGGTTGTTACTATGTACAAACTTACAGACACAAATAAATAGCATTTTTGAACTGCTGTTGGCTTAGATTGGAGGACTTTCTTTCTGAGCTCTGAATCTTAAAGACTCCTAAACAAACCAAGGGATAGAAATTCCTCATTGTTTTTAGTGAACTATCATCTGAAAATCTTGGGGCTTACTGAATAAAATCAATGTGTCAAACTTAAGAGCCAGAAGTTTCTAGTGAGCCTACCAGAGGGTTTGGCCTCTCCTGACATCTGGAAGCCAGGAGAGGTGACTACAGATACCAAGGACTAGAGAGATACTTTACTTCCTGCTTTCTTTGCATAGTTCTGAACCTCTATTTCCACCATTACAATTATTTCTCTTTGTGATGTTTTCTTCAGAGGATTTACTTTCTTTTCCTCTTAATACAATTTGAGTGAAACCATCAAAGAAAGCATCAATTCTTACTCTTGGTATTTAAATCAAACCCAAATGATCTTCAAAAGAATTAAGTCTTCCTTGTTTCTAGAGAAGGCAGCAACTCTTTTCTGAAATATCATCTTAGTTTACCCCAGGTTCAACATCTAGCAAAGAAACAGATTACTGAGGCACAGTCCATTCTGGGAAATGTGGCCCCATTCTTGACTCTGCCAGCATCACCATTACCAGTTGGCAGCTTATCCCCAGAATGTGGATGTAATGTAAAAACCTTTCTGCTATACAAGGCCTATGTAGAAAAGGAGAAACATGGAAACTGGCACCAAAGAATCAGCTGCCAGGGGAAGAAAGAGAATGTTCGCTCTCTGGGGCCAGCACCAAACAAAGTGCTGCAGGAGTGAAGCCAATATTCACCTTAAACTCGAGCAGGTAAGCTGGAATATATCCAGGAGAGTGTGATTGAACAATGCTTTCCAGACAGAAATTGTCAAAGAGCAGTTCTCAGACTTCTCCCTTTCCATGCTTGTTAAAAAGTTATAGTATAAATGTAAATTCTTTTCACCTTAATGATCCATCCCAGGCATCCATCCACTGGAGAATCATGCTATATGACAACACATGGGTATATATACTACTCTCTCTTCTGCTAGACTGCAACACGTGTGAACCCTTCTCTTCCCCAAATGCTGTCACAAAGCCTATGACTGAAAATCTCTAGGGGCACCTGGGTGACTCAATCAGTTGAGCATCCAACTCTCGACCTCAGCTCAGGTCTTGATCTCAGGGATGTGAATTCAAGCCCCACATTGTACTCCATGCTGGGTGTGGAGCCTATTAAAAAAAAAAAAAAAAAAAATTCTAATTTGGCTGTTTAGGAGTTACTACAAATGTCCTCAGCACTTCAGCACACAAAGTTGTTGTATGGTTTTGTTCTCCCTACCTAGGAAAGGCAGTTTCAAGGTCCAATACCCTCTAAATTGTCTTACAAGTAGCAGAAGCAAAAACTATGGTCCAGATGATTTGTCAGCAGACAAACCACAACTTGCCAAAGCTTTTAAAAAAGAGAGATTCAGCAATTTATAGTTTTAGTGCTTGAGTCTTTTGTCATTCTATCCCTAGTTAGCTTTTCTTGGCTGGAGTCCAAAAATACCAACCTATCATCTGGGTAGACAGAGATTCCTATTATTACCACAGATTAGATGAATGTATCTCAGAGAATTTATTGTTTCCATGTTATAAGATGGAACTTCCTTGCCTGGAAGCCACCTCTGAATACAAAGTGTCCAGTGAGTCAGCCGGAGATCCCCCATCAGAGGATGGATGCTGCTTAGATTCCATGGGAAGGAGTGGGCGTCAGCTTCCCTGATTTCAGTCTTGGTTGAGAAGGTTGTTCTCCCTAGCTAAGATGGCTGGCTGGCTTCAGAAACCAACATAAGTGCTGTGTGTGCACTTATGTGCACAGGTCCCTTGCATCATCCTAATCCATGAAATGTCAATGTCATCAACAGTCTGAAATAGGTCCTGCCTGAAAGGGCGAGACAAAGGCTTATGACTTCAATTTGCCAGACATCGCTGCAATTATAATACTGAGCCACTTATTAAAAACTAAGTGGTTTGTCCTGTAGAAAAGGGCAGCAAGTAATCGTCAGTGTCCCATTGGAAGAAGTGATCAATTTCCTGGAACAGTGGGAAACAGTGGTGAGGAACATGACCTTGATCTGCTCCATCACATGGCCTGGGGTTAGGACACTCGGATGATCTGTGTCATTGCTTCTTCATCTGCTTGGTTTGGATCCTAAAGACAAAGCATAATAGTGATTAAAATCCTTTGCAAAAGTAACAAGGAACTCAAGGCTCTCATTTCTCATCATCAAGGGTAATACATACAATTTTGCTAAGTAAACCAAAGTCCCAGAATGTACCTAAGTCTACCTACATGGATTAAAATGCAGCTCCATAAGGAAAGAAGAGATAACAAACATTTGTGTAAAAGGAGTGTTAAGTCTGGCCTGGCATTCCACTTCCAAGCACTCCAGAGTTGACAATGTATCTCTCTCCTAAGAGAACCTGTGTTGTGCTTTACCTTCCAAATTTAAGGGTCTTTAGGTGGCCAAGAGAACCACGTCATATTGTATTTTTTGTGCCATGACTTTCTGATCATCATATTTAAATACTAAGCACTTAGCAGGGCTGGAAAAGACACTGACATTTATTTTAATGCGCTCATTTTGAAGATAAATGCAAAGTCTGGATGGATAAAGTGATTTGCCTGGACTGGAGTGAGAAAGTTAGTCAGCAGCTCAGCAAGAACTAATGCCCAAATCTCTTGGCTCCCATTTCACTATTTCTTAACTATTTCCCATTTCTTTCCACTAAATTCTGCATGCCCCCCCTCACTTAAAATCTGCAGTGTTAAGACAAGGATCAGTCCATGGGGCGCCTGGGTGGC